GGCCTCCCCGTCACCCAGCGTCGTTCGGCGGGATGTCTCCACCCAGGCGGTGGTGAGACCACCTGCCACTCGAGATGTGTCCGTTGGCCACCAGCCCACCACCAGAAACGTGGGCGTTCAGCCCTCGGAAATCGTTTACTCCAAGGAGGAGCTGGAGAAGAAAGTGGAGCAGGCTCTGACCAACGCACAAAAGCAACAGCTGAGGAAGCTCATCTCGGTGGGCACCCAGATGTATGTGCCGCAAAGGGAGCAACGAGACAGTGGAGTGCAAACTCTGCCGGAGAGACCCAAACTCAAATATAATGTGGGGGTCAGCGCTAAACCCGCCACGAGGGAGAACTTCACCAGTTGCAAGCCGGATGTTCGCCACGTGGGCAGCTCAGAGGATCGCCTGGACGATGTGCTCTGTGAGAAGTGCGCCGTCAGCAAGAAAAGCGTGGCCTGCGGTCCGGAAACCCCACCGGAGAAGGTTAAACAGGCTCCCCAAATGCCCGGGCGCAGCAATACCTTCAGTTTGGGCGAGAATGAGACCGTATCCGTGGTGCGTAAGACCATTGGCTGCCAGACGCCAGTTGCCGTGGTCCTCAGTGCCGGCAGTCAAACCACCACGGCCGCAGTTCGCTCCACCGGAGCCCAGGTGCATCCCCAGCAGCAGCACTCCGGCGTGCAGTGTGGAACGGAACAGGTCTCCCGGCAGACGGACACCACTGGTCTGCAGCGACTCACCCGGAGTCAAACGAAGGCGGAACAGGTGGCCGAGTCGGTGCCACGCCCCTCGACCCGCCACACTGGCAGCAATACGGACAAGGTGGCGGAACCGGAGGAGCCGGCCAAAGTCCGCACAAGCCACTCCGCCTGCAACACGGAGGAGGTTCGGAAGCGAGACGTGGGCTGTGGCGATATTGTCAAGCCGCACATCTCCATTGCCTGTGCGGCCAACTACTGTGATTCCTGCAAGGAGGCCATCCAGGATCTGGCCAGGGGCTTCTCGAAGTCCAGTCCAACGACTCCCAGAACGGGAGGAGCTCCCAGGCGATCCACTTCGGCGGATTCGCGGATACCGCGGCCCAAGCACCTCACCAGTCCCAGTCCCGTGCGGAAAGAGTTCAAGCGGCAAAACACTTACACGCTGGCCACGCCCTCGCCAACGCCCAGTCCACAGGTGGAACGGAAGGCAAGGTTGAGGTGAGTGTTTCCGTAAAATTTTTGCTTTGATGCCCACCCTCCTTCTCTTACTTTATTCTTAAAGCCTTTACATACATACTTCTTGAACAGGCATTTGATTTCAAGTCTTTAGTAGAACGTTAAATTCAGGCAATTTAAAGTTAATGAATTTAAAGCAATGAAAGTGGTTAACATATGTTTCTAACTAATATTAAGGGAAGTGCAAGGGAAATTGGGATATTCAAGCAGCAAAGCGACTGCTTTATAGCGCGCCACCTAGCGGTCATTTTATTATTTCTTTATAACTTTTAAAATATGGGTTCCATTTTTCCTTTTTTAATTTTGATTACTTTATGGTTACATGCGTATTGAATTAAAAATGAAAACAAACACTTTTTATTCTCGTTAGGGGCGTTCTTGACGTTATAGTATTTAGCTTCAAATTTCAAAACATTTTCAAGTTTTTTTTTGGATGGATGGGAGGGAAAAATTGTTTGCAAAATAAGTCTTTGATATGATATTTTGTTTTTTTGGCCAACAAATTAACCGAATGCTTAGTAAGCACTAAAATCTAGTCCCACTGTGCGAGGAAAGTTTCCCAAAGAGCTTTTAGCCAAGACACAAATCACATGCCAGCTCTTGCGCATTGGGTTCACAAAAGTCTTGGCCTGAAATCGAAATGCGTTGACCTTCAGTTGAGTTTTGGTGTTTGCTTTGGCTCAATTGCTGAGCCGCTTCTTTTTGTTTTTTATTTGGATTTTGGTTTTCCGCATGGTGCTGCCAATGTTTTCCAGCCTGAGCAGTTTCACGTGCTATCCGCTGCTGGTCAGCGGATGCTCGGCTCTGCTTGTAACGTGGGTTTAAGACTTTTGTAAGGACCCCAAGCCTTCCGTACTCATCAAGGTTATTCATTTTCAGCTCCCTGCAGGAGAAGCCCCCGACTGTGTCCAGTTTCCAGGCAGCCGACCCATTGGCGGAGTCCCAAAGCTTCATCCGGCAGCCGCAGAAGGATTTGTTGGACCTGAGTCTCCTGGGCGACGATGAGCTGATTGTGCGCGAGGAGAAGCGGGTTAGCATCAGCTGGTCGAGGGATGCTTCCCCAGCCCCGCTGATGACCTCCTCGGGCACCACCAAGTCCGAATCGCCGGAGCAGGAGCCGGCCATGAGCTCCTCCAGCGAATCCAGTCCGCCCATCGACGTGCAGATCGCCCAGGGAGCTCGCAAGAAGTCGAGCACTCCACTCAAATCTAGTCAGAGCGAGGGCTCCCAGGTGACCGTGATCGAACAGCCGGCCACCAAAGCCCAGCTCCATCAGTTGGCCCAGGCGGATTCGGAGCCCCGAAAAAAGTGAGTAAACGAGATAGAGATTTAACTTTCTTTTGTCTAAAAAATTTTTCTCATTGAATTGAAAAGAAATTTTACTTATATTACTTTAAACCCTTTTCAGAACCGAACTGTCCAAGGGTCTACAAGAGGCCCTCAAGGTCATTAACGACTCGCTGCTAAAGAAGTTGGGTGCCAAGCCCATATCCTCGCAGAGCCTCAAGTCGGCGAAGGCGACTATCCAGGATCACTGGTTCATCAACTCCAGTACCGGCAAGTCCGATCCTCACCAGGTGGAGGACTACCTCGATTACTTCGAATCTCTGTCGGTGCCTCTGCTGGAGTATTGTGTTAATCTGTCCGACAATAATGTGAGTTTATATCATTAATACTTTTGTAGGAGAAACTTAATTACTAGGGATGTATCTTTATTCAGGGCAACACAGCCATGCACTATGCAGTCTCGCACGGCAACTTCGACGTGGTATCCATTTTGCTCGATTCTAAGGTTTGCGATGTAAACCAGATGAATAACGCCGGATACACATCGGTGATGCTCGTATCGTTGGCCAAGCTGAAGCAGCCCTCCCATCGGACAGTCGTCGAGCGACTGTTCAAGATGGCCGATGTCAACATACGGGCCAAGAAGGTAGGTAAGGGGCCCACACCGCCCGCTGATCTTGACCCCAGAAAGAGCTGACCCCTGTTCACATCCCCTACTAACCGCTCCTCCCGCCCGATCTCTCCACCCACCCACAGCACTGCCAGACCGCTTTGATGCTCGCTGTGTCGCATGGTAACGGGGATATGGTCAATATGCTCCTGGACGCCGGGGCGGACATCAACATACAGGACGAGGACGGCAGCACGGCGTTGATGTGTGCCGCCGAACATGGACGAGTGGAGGTTATCAAGCACCTGCTGTCGCATCCGGATTGCGATTCCCTGGTCAACGATGTGGTGAGTATGGGAGAAGACTTGAAATTACAAGTACCGGTTTTTTAATTACGGATCCTTAAGTCTTTTGAAATCTATACAATTTAAACATTATAAGCCATTAAGCAGAATAAGGGCCGTTTTCTCGTCCGTTTGTTAAATTTAAAGTAAGGTTAAAACCTTGAAATCGTATGGGAAATTAGAATTTAAACCCTACTTTAAATTTAACAGGCGGATAAGAAGAAAGGCCTTAAGAGTATTGAGCTTTAACTTAATGTGGAACATCAAATCTAAATTAAATTCTTCATACCTAAACATAGCTGGTTACAAATGTTGTTTAAAATGGAAGAATCAAATAATATTGTTTCAATAGTATAGAATTCAAAATTGCACTTTATAAAAAATTGTATTTTTTTTGTGTTTTAGAAGTAGTTTTGTCACAAGGTTGATAATTCGATTCCATTGATTTACTTTTCTTTTTTCCAGGATGGCAGCACCGCCTTTAAGATCGCATGGCAGGCCGGGCATCGGGATGTGGGACTTCTCATCTACGTCCACGAACAGATGCTACGGAGCAAGCTGCCGAACCGCGGAGTGCCCACCAAAAGCTCCCTGATTTCGACCCAGCGCCACAATAGGCAGCCATCGCAGTAGAGCCATTTCGTATTAGCGGCCAAATCGACGAACAAACAGATAGTGTTTAAGTTCTTAATTGGCATTTCGTAGAGCTGCCCCAAAAATACATTCCATAGCGCTGAGGAAAGGCACAAAAATGCAGCTTACACTTTCATACATATGTATATTGTATAATTGGAGTTCGTTTGTCGTACGTTTTATTTATTTGTAAATCTAATTTTAGTGCTAATGTTTAATGTAACTCTAGTTTCGATCTTGATTAATCAACGAAAGCAGCAGACTCTTTATATAATATATCTGACACAAAACGATCAACTCTTGCAATTAAGTACTGCACAGGCCTGAGCTACCGGTCTTAAAGTAGCCGACAATCCAACCAACCATATCAAGCAATCGACAATGCAAAACACGATATATACTAACCACAAATAACAAACAATGAATCAAATTTAGAATTATTTTAACAAATTAAATGGTTCATCCTTAGGAGGACAATGTGTATTTAATAGAAATTAAACAAGCTATTTTAAAAGAAATGTTTTTTTCGAAATAAATAAATCCTTAAATAAAGAAAATGTCTTTAAAATAACTATACTAAAGTTGACTTTGCCTATTAGGTCGCCCGACCTTTAGTTTCATATTTTATTTGGTTAGTTGCCATGCTGAGTTTTATATTGCTTTCTAGACTTTGTTCATGGAGTAAATTCTTCGTCATTAAGTTAAAGCTAGAGATTTAGATACTGACATAAGCCTAATCACTTTTTCATACGCAAATGAGTTTCTTTAACCAAATTTTTAAAATTAATCACAAAGCGGAAACGTTTTAATAGAATTAAATAATTTAAAAATGTAAGTAAAAAGTTTACTTGTATTATAGCAAGTCCGTTAAAATGCTAATGAAACTTCCTTTTAAAAGAAACTAGTTAATTATTTTGACTACTCAGTGATTCAGCTAATGTCAGTGATCTTACGTATTTAACACTCTAGCTTATACCGCCCTCTCCTCGTTACCGGGCTCTATAACCCCCAATGGCATCAGGGTTAGCGCTATACCATCCTCAAGATTAACCAGTGGTTTTCTGGAGTTCAACGAGAACTCGTACTCGGAAAGGAGTAGGGCCAAGGCCAAACGCAGTTGCAGCTGGGCAAACTGAATGCCGATGCAGCTGCGAGCACCGACGCCGAATCCAAACCAGGTGCCCTGCTCCTGCAGCGAATCCCTCGGCCCACCCCATCGATCTGGCTTGAATTCCTCCGGCTCCGGATAGATATCCGGATCGTGGTGGATGGCATGCGTGGGAATGATGAGGAACAGCTCCTTGACCAGCATGTACTTCGGATGATCCGGAACTGCATAATCGTTCAGGGTGCGACGCAGGATGTAGGGTGTTATGGGGTGCATTCTGAGTGTTTCGTTTATCACCTGGCCCATGAAGGACAGCGACTGAATGCACTCGTAGTTAATGTTACCCTCGTGCCGCTCAATGGCCTTCTTGATCTCCTCCCTCACTCGGATTTGCAGTTCCGGATGCAGGGCGAGTTCGTAGAGTATATAAGACAGAGTGTTGGCCGTTTGCTCGTATCCCGCCTTCAAGAACACAACCGCATGGGCGGCCAACTCATTTTGCAGGTGCAAAGCGAGCTCCTTATCCGATTCATATTGATGCGTAATCAACTCCAGGGCCTTGACCTCCATCAACAGCTGCAGATAGTCCTGATGTCGTACTCCCGACGCCTCACGTTGTTCCACGATATTCGAGAGGAGTTTTACAAAATACTCCTCCGCCTGTTTGGGAGTGCGACGCATGCGCAGCAGTCGGCAAAAGTTCGGGAAGCGTATCATCATCAGATTCATTAGGTAGCCATGTTTGTGGCTATTCAGGGCCAGCTCGGTCATTTGTTCAAAGTCCTCCAGGGGATACGATAGCCTCTGCTGGGCGTCCAGGCCAAAAACGCAGTTGGCCAGGGCCGAGAGGACGTAACGCCTCATGATCTTCTGGATGTGCACAGTGGAATGGGACTGATTCATTAGGGTGGAGCTGACGGTCAGAAGGAGCTGAGCCGCCTCCTCATAGAGACAGCCATACAGCCAGGACATGCGATCGCCTTCGAGACTGGGATCCAACTTCTGGCGCATCTCCTTCCAGCTCTGGCCCCGCAAGGCATAGAGATCCCCGGACAAGGGGTCCGACTTCTGGTTGCAGTACAAGCCCCGATCGTTGAAGTTCCAAAAGTCCTTGATCATTATCTGCCTGATTAGCTCCCGGTCGAGGATCAAGGCTCGTGGCTGCAGCAGAGCATAGAATCCGCAGAAGGGACCGCTTCCCTTGAACTTGCTGTATATGGCCGAGTAATGAGACGCCTTCATTGCCTCCGTACTTAGTGTCTGCGTCATTATTTGCCTAATGATAGGCCATAGCTTTTTCGGCCTCTCGTGCGGAATGTTCAGATAGCGCCAATAATCTCGTTGATACCGTGCCGCTATAATTAGCAGAACCAGCAGCCCGAGCACCAACAGCCCGATGATCAGGAAAATTATCCACATGTTTTGCATTATTTTTTGTCGTTCTGTTTGCCCTGAATCACATGCACACACACGTCTGGGAATCCGAAAAATCACTGCCTTCACGGGGGAAGTTCGTTCCACTTCCTGCCCGCCCCGCGATATCTTGCCACACTTTCACTCTCACTGGCCTGGGCCCCTGTATATCGCGATCCCGCTCTCGACCGTCAGGTAATAGTGTCACCGACAACTATGATCTAATGCATCGCTCCGGAGCGTTCTCGGCGTTCTCGATGGGGTTACGTTCATTAACGAAGCGCTCGATTCGACTGAGAGTACTATGGAGAAAAGTAACTATTTACGATACTCGCTCCCCACTCCAGGTGCGAGCTTTTAATTTGTTTCTTTACCGCTTTTTCGAGTGCGCTACACTGTAGCTCGTCGGCTGGTGGGCGTCTGACTGAGGCCAGACGGACATATGATTATTATTACTTTATTTTTCAATGTTGGTGGCACCAGCAGACAGTCGCAGAAGAGTCGTTTATGCGTCTTATAAAGTCTAAATAAACAAAAGATTCGATACGATTGCCATAAACATGTAAGTAATATAACAATACGTAAAAATGATCCCATTACAACCTACAATTTTAATATAAAGATTACTGTACTAACTTTGTACTTTGTAGGACGTTTCCCTTGTCACCTTGGCTGGTCGAGCTCCCTTATCTGAAGGCTTTAAAGTTCATTTTCGTTCCTTATCAATTTTTTTGACAGTATTTTAGTACACCCCTTTGTTGGGGTTATAATTTTTTTGCGAATTTTTAGTGAACAAATTGTCCATTTACTGTCCATCAGTAAGCTAGTTGCTGATAATAAACAAAATAGTACACTTTCGCTTTTTTATGAGTTCTGTTCTACCCTAACCGATAAATTTTACGCCCAATTAACATTTAAATGCCTTGATAGCGAAAAAAACCAGACAAAAGAAAAGCTCACCCACAACGCTGAAATAAAGCCGAAATAAATACAAAATCAAAAAAGCTGCCATGCTTAATTACTTGTTGTTGTTGGCTACATCCGCACTTGAAATCTAATCAACTGTCAAACAAATATGACCGAAAAGGTAAACAATGTCGTTGCCAGATCCGTCAAATATCAGCACAGCTAATACCCATATCATGTTACGATGACGGTCGAACACGGGCTTCTAATGATGAAGTAGCCCACTAGTGATATGACGCTCTACAGGGGGGATTGTCCGAACCTTTATGGGATTTGATAAGAGAAGGCTCGTCGGTATACAGTAGGCACTGCCTAGCCAGTTTACCTGGTTTCTTCATCGAACACCCAGTTCGAAGAGAGAACTAAACAAGAGAGAGCGCAACAGTCAAGCACCTCGACTATCAGATACCCGTTACTAAGCGGTGGATATAAAGTTATGAAAGTAGTAAATGCACTGCTTGCACTGCTTGCATTTCATTATTTTCTTATAATAGATGGTCATCGTTGAGGATTGAGTGCATATTAATCTGGTCTCTCATCGTGGTAATATTTTATACATCCTTGTAAATCCCTCTATAAAATCTATCGTTTATTTGGTTGTGGCAGGTTAGTTCTGTTGTCGAATAGAAATAATCACAAACCCTTTATATGATTTAAAGGTTAGGATTTCGTTAAGGAAAGTTTTCAGAACTAATAATAAAGTATAATCATCTCAGCCGAGCAACGGTGAGTAAGCGAGCAGGTTTTTACTGATATGGGGATGCCTTCAGCACTAGACGTTCTGATAAGCTACAATCCGTCACTTTACAGTAATAATTGGCTAGTAGTCGCTGGAAACTTTGTGGCAAGCAAAATAAATGCTGTTTGTACAGTGTGTATGCAAAATATTTCCATCAAAACGACGATATTTTCATTATCTTTATAGACTGATCTTACTGTACGAGTTTTGCTGTCTCACAGTTGCCCGCACAAAAGTAAACAAAACTTAAGATTAACTCTCACTTTTCATGGGACTGAGAATGCCTCGTCATGCAAAGTAGGTAAGTTTCAGCATTTAAAAACAGTTTGTCGATCGTTTTTCGAATCAGTAGCAGCCAAACAGCATCAGCCTAAGTATGGCGTTAACATACATTCTCTTCCAAGTGGCGGTCGCCTTGCTGGCGATCGTTAGTTACTATCTCCACCGGAAGTTAACATATTTTAAGCGCAGGGGTATTCCCTTCGAAACACCCCATCCGATCAGGGGTAACATGCAGGAACTGCAGAAGACAAAGAACTTTCACCAAATACTCCAAGATCACTACGACAAGTTCCGGGAGAGCAAAGCACCGTTCGTTGGATTCTACCTTTTCCAGAATCCAGCCGCATTTGTTATTGACCTGGACCTGGCCAAGCATATTCTGGTCAAGGACTTCTCGAACTTCTCTAACAAAGGAATGTTCTACAACGAAAAAGATGACCCCATTTCCGCACATCTCTTCAACCTGGATGGCCCCCAGTGGCGTTTGCTGAGGAACAAATTATCCTCGACTTTCACATCCGGTAAAATGAAGTACATGTATCCGACTGTAGTGTCCGTGGCCGATGAATTTATGGCGGTGATGCACGAGAAGGTAGCGAAGGACTCTGTGCTGGAAATTCGTGATCTGGTATCCAGGTTTACGGTGGATGTGATCGGAACTTGTGCCTTTGGAATCCAGTGCAACAGTCTGCGAGATGAAAACGCCGAGTTTCTTTATTTTGGAAAGCGGTCTTTAGTGGACAAGCGACATGGTATGCTAATCAACGGTTTCCTACGCAGCTATCCAAAGTTCGCAAAGAGTTTGGGTTTCGTTCGAACGGCGCAGCATATTCAGGATTTCTATCATAGGATCGTCACCGAAACTGTGGCAGTGCGAGAAAAGGAGAATATCAAGAGGAACGATTTCATGGACATGCTCATTGAAATGAAAAATCAGAAGCAAATGACCCTGGATAACGGAGAAGTGGTCAGAGGATTGACCATAGAGGAGGTCCTAGCCCAAGCTTTTGTGTTCTTTATAGCTGGCTTTGAGACATCCTCCTCCACCATGGGATTTGCTATATACGAACTGGCCAAGAACTCGCATATTCAGGATAAGGTTAGAGCTGAGGTGGAGGAGGTCCTGGAGCAACATGACCAAAAGTTCATCTACGAGTGCACTAAGGATCTCAAGTACCTTGACCAGGTTATAAACGGTAAGTTAGATACTCATAAACGAAAGCATCACACTGATTTTCTAATCTCTCTGCAGAAACTCTACGACTGTATACCATTGTACCCAATCTGGATCGAATGGCCGCTAAGCGCTATGTTGTTCCCGACCATCCCAAATTCGTCATCGAGGCTGGTCAATCGGTCATCATTCCATCATCCGCCATACACCAAGATCCCAGCATCTATCCCGAACCCTACGAGTTCCGGCCCGAACGATTCTCCCCCGAGGAATCGACCAACCGTCCTTCAGTTGCCTGGCTGCCTTTTGGAGATGGTCCCCGCAACTGCATTGGACTGAGATTCGGACAGATGCAGGCTCGCATTGGACTTGCCCTCCTCATCAAGAACTTCAAGTTTTCCACCTGCTCGAAAACTCCAGAGCCTCTCATCTACGATCCCCGTTCGTTTGTACTCGGCGTGAAAGACGGAATCTATCTGAAGATAGAGGCGATCTAGTTGTAGAATTGAGAGCCATTAAATCGATGCCAAAGCTCCCTAAGCATAAGAGATATGTAAAAATTAAATTGTTTTGTGATTAACCTAGCTCATAAAGAAATATGTTGGGGCAGGTTAAGGTCCGCTTGGTCAATAGGCAATCTTTGGTTTATTTCCAAACAAGTTTAGTATTCCTTTCTAATGGTTATTCTTAGTTATAACTGGATGGCTTATAAATAAACATATAGTACATATAAACATTACAAAGTTTTAAGATCTAAGTAACAAGTATTTTGCGATCGAGACGCGGGCAACACCCTAACCTATCAGCTTGCTAATACCTTGTTACTCTAGTCAGAATTCCTACAAACATGAACGATAAGTGGAAAGATTGCGATAGCTTTTATTTTGATTGTTGGTCACAATGACTGCTGATTTTTTTCCTGGCCTATTAAAGCCCGCTGGCAAAGCTTTGGTATTCTCAGTTAGTGGTGAACGTTGAACAAGTTTGCAAACGATCACGGCAAGTTGAAAATATCCGTAAATATAACGTGTGAGTCATGGCCGTGGGAACCGTCCTACTGACAGCGTTGCTGGCGCTTCTTGGTTACCTTTTTCTGAAATTGCGTAGCACCATGAGGTACTGGCAGGAACTGGGAATTCCTTGCGAGGAGCCTCACATCATAATGGGAAGCATGAAAGGAGTGCGAACCAAGCGATCGTTTAACGAGATCTGGATGAGCCATTACAAAAAGTTCCGTGGAACTGGACCATTTGCTGGCTTCTATTGGTTCCGCCGGCCGGCTGTTTTCGTCCTGGAACCTTCTCTGGCTAAACAGATCCTGATCAAGGACTTCAACAAGTTTACCGACCGTGGATTTTTCCACAACACCGAGGACGATCCATTGTCTGGCCAGCTGTTCTTACTTGATGGTCATAAATGGAAATCTATGCGAAATAAATTGTCATCCACCTTCACCTCCGGAAAAATGAAGTACATGTTCCCCACTGTGATCAAGGTGGGTCATGAGTTCACCGATGTGTTCGGCCAATATGTGGAAAAGAGCCCTGTTATTGAGGTGAGAGAGCTATTGGCCCGGTTCACAACTGACGTCATAGGCACCTGTGCCTTCGGCATCGAGTGCAGCAGTCTGAAGGATCCTGAAGCGGAGTTCCGAGTGATGGGTCGTCGATCCATCACAGAGCAGCGACTGAGTGCCGTGGGAATCGGTTTTGTCAACAGCTTTCCCAACCTGGCACGTCGCCTCCACATGAAAATGACGGCAGAGCCCATCGAAAAATTCTTCATGCGCATCGTTAGGGAAACAGTCGCTTTCAGGGAACAGAATAATATCCGTCGAAATGATTTTATGGATCAGTTAATCGATCTGAAAAACAAACCACTAATGATGTCGGAATCCGGGGAGAACGTCAACTTAACTATTGAGCAGATTGCTGCCCAGGCTTTCGTGTTCTTTGCAGCTGGTTTTGAAACCTCATCGACTACAATGGGATTCGCTTTGTATGAGCTGGCCCAAAATCAGGATATCCAGGCGCGTGTGAGGGAAGAGGTCCTGGAGGTTTGTGAAAAATACAAGGGAGATTTTACGTACGAAAGTGTACAGGAACTGGTCTATCTTAATCAAGTGATATCTGGTAAGATATGGAGAACTTATAAAATTCGCTTTACTAAGTAACTTTAAATCTTACAGAAACTCTTCGTCTTTACACTGTGCTCCCCGTCTTAAATCGCGAATGCCTGGAGGACTTTGTGGTTCCCGATAATCCCAAATACGTGATCAAGAAGGGAATGCCCATCATTATTCCAGCTGGAGCCATGCACCGCGATGAGAGACTTTACCCGAATCCAGCCACTTTCAATCCGGACAACTTCTCCCCCGATCGAGTAAAGGAGCGCGATTCCGTCGAGTGGCTGCCGTTCGGCGATGGTCCCAGAAACTGCATCGGAATGCGATTTGGTCAGATGCAGACAAGAATTGGACTGGCCCTCCTGATCAAGGACTTTAGGTTCTCAGTCTGCGAGCAGACTATGATTCCCATGCAATACGACAAAGAAATGTTCCTTATTTCAAGTAAATCTGGCATCTATCTTAAAGTGGAACGAGTGTAAAAAAAAGTATATAACAGCTATCTTATAAACTAACTAGCATTTCAAAGCTCAATAAAAAAAGAAGTATGGAAGAAAAATGATTTAAAAGCTCAATAAAAAGAGAAATATGGAAAGCAAATCCAACAAGAAAGGAAGCTAGCTTCGGCCAGCCGAAGCTTATATGCCCTTGCAGATCATTCCTATTAATTAACAAATCGCAAAAATGTTCAATTTTCTAATATTTCTCATTAATTTTCCGATCGTTCCTATGGCAGCTATATGATATAGTCGTCCGATTTTGATCAAATTAAAATTGAAATTCGGAAATATTTAAAAAGAGTCATATCCTAGAGTAGAAGATAATACAATAAAAACCAAAGAAGCTAGAATTTATTTCCTATTACTTTTCCATTAATTTTCCGATCGTTCCTATGGCAGCTATATGATATAGTCGTCCGATTTTGATCAAATTAAAATTGAAATTCGGAAATATTTAAAAAGAGTCATATCCTAGAGTAGAAGATAATACAATAAAAACCAAAGAAGCTAGAATTTATTTCCTATTACTTTTCCATTAATTTTCCGATCGTTCCTATGGCAGCTATATGATATAGTCGTCCGATTTTGATTAAATTAAAATTGAAATTCGGAAATATTTAAAAAGAGTCATATCCTAGAGTAGAAGATAATACAATAAAAACCAAAGAAGCTAGAATTTATTTCCTATTACTTTTCCATTAATTTTCCGATCGTTCCTATGGCAGCTATATGATATAGTAGTCCGATTTTTTAAATAATTAATTCGAAATTCAGAAATATTTAAAAAATAACATCCCCAAAAGTAGAAGGTAATATTTCAAAAAACACCGAAGCTAGAATTTTTTAAAGTTTTTTTTTTCCGATCCTTCCTATGGGAGCTATAAGATATAGTTGTCCGATCCGGTCGGCTCCGACATATATACTACCTGCAATAGAAAGAAGACTTTTGGGAAAGTTTTATCCCGATAGCTCAAAAACTGAGAGACTAGTTTGCGTAGAAACAGACAGACGGACAGACGGACAGACGGACAGACGGACGGACAGACGGACAGACGGACATAGCTAGATCGACTCGTCTTGTGATGCTGATCAAGAATATATATACTTTATGGGGTCGGAAACGTCTCCTTCACTGCGTTGCAAACTTCTGACTGAAATCATAATACCCTCTGCAAGGGTATAAAAATCTCTACAATTTTGGGATTTTCAACTTTGGCGTCGAATTTCAAAGACATGGGCAATGGTTCAAAATGGGGACTATTTTTTAGGAATGCCGAGATGTATTGAGAGTAGATCCTACCGAAAATAATAAAGGTTAGTCCAATTATATAGGCCACGTAATTCAAAATGTCGGCAAACATCGGTTTTTTGTATTCTTAGCTATACCGCGGAACCTGTAGGTGATGGAAAATTATTTTGTATGGGACTTTTTCTCAGGAGCACCCAAATATCATGGAAAACTTGAAATGGTTCGTGGAAATTTTTGGCTGTGTACCTGTGTAACCTTGAGGAGATAATCGAAACAGAACTATGAGTTCATTAAATATTTCAAGAACCTTAAGCAGGTTATAAATGGTACGTTAAAGTCTCCCTGAAGAAACTATACAACTCTACAATCTGGATTATGTTGGGGCAGGTCGAAGACCACATGGTCGTTACTCAGCTTAAGGGAGTGGGAGGGAGATGTAAAGCTTTGATCGCGCATAACTTTATGAAAAACTTAATTTCGATAGCTATTGATAAACACAATAAAAATTTATTTTTTCTTTTCCGCAATCTGTAATGGCGTGGGCGCCAGACACTTTTTAAAATCGTTTAAGACGATTATGGGCGTTAGAAAGGGGGTTGCGCTATAATAAAACAAACTTGTGCTGCGTAAAAAGCCAAAGAATATGTGAGGGTAGTCCCAACTTTCTAGCTTTTGTAGTTTCCGAGATCTCAGTGTTCATACAGACAAGCAGACGTACAGACGGACATGGCTAGATCGAGTCGGCTATATATACTTTATAAGTCGGAAATGCTTTCTTCTAGCTGTTACATACTTTTACAATTAGGGTGTTCAATTGCGTTGCAAACTTTGTAAAGTGTAAAAGTGTATATCAATTCCAAACAACAATTTCTATAAAAAATAGTTTTAAAGGCCTACTTTTGAAAATTTTTTTTGTATAGAAATTGTTGTTGGAACTGTCTTACACTTTTACACTTTACAACGTTTGCAACGCAATTGAACACCCTAAATATATACAATACAACATACCCAATTACACTACGAGTAACGGGTCTAAACATCTAATCGAATACTAATTAAAATGTTGGAGATCAAGGGAGTGAACATATCAGTAGAACTCGTGTTCCAAAAGTTATTCAAGCCTATAGTTAAGGAAACAGTCCGACTTGATAAAAGAGATGCCCAAAAGTAGACAATGGATTCACAATTGCTAGTTTACAATTTAATCAAAGTCAGCTTATAAAATGTTAATTGAGCATGCTAAACGAGTATTCATTTTCTAAAAAGGCAAAAATTCGATTTTCTCGGTTGAACATTCGAGAATCAATTAGGGTTTGAATACATGCTAAAGCCCACCATCACCGCCCTTCCGCTTTGGTCTGATAAGTGAAAGACAAAAAGTATTTAAAAAGTAGGTACATATATAATAACAATTTGTTTGTCAAAGGTAAAGCTTTCTCGATCTTGGGTACTAATTTGACTGAATACGGTCGTGTTATATAATATTTTTTTAAAAGCGTATTTTTCCCATAATTTCCATTAAATCGATTTGTAATATTTTAATTACTTTCCTAATCTGCTGACTTTTAGATGAATTCCCCCCTTTGAACTCAGCAGAATATCATCGGTCCGATATTCTAAGGGTACGACAGTCTTGGTAGGGTGCAACTCGAACTTAAAGTTGTGGATGAGCAGCGCCATTCCAACGACGACCTGCATCCGACCAAAGCGAAGACCTATGCAGTTTCGGGGACCATCTCCAAATGGCAGGAAGGTGCAAGCGGGACGCTGTTGCACCTGATCCTCATCGAACCGCTCTGGGATAAACTTCTCCGGTTCCGGGTAAAACTCGGGATCATGATGTATTGCCCAGGTCGGCACAATCACTCCTGTGCCTTTTTCAATGTAATACTTTGGATTGGTGTGCTCATAGCGTTGAGTTGCAACGCGAATTAAATGACCCACTACGGGACGCTTCCGCATGGTCTCTGCGAAAGAAAAGAATATAAAATGCATTTTAGAGAGGAAATAAGGTCCAATAAAAATAGGCAACTCACCGTCGATAACCTTCTCCAAATAAGTCATCTCCCGCATGCTGTCATAGTCTAGTTTTCCATTATGTTTCTCCAAAACGCTATCCACCTCAGCCCTTAGTTTATCCTGAATATTCTGATTGAAGGCCAACTCATATAGAGCAAATCCCATGGTTGTAGAGCTTGTTTCAAAGCCAGCCAGGAAAAATATAAAAGCCTGGGCAGCGATTTCATTAAAGGTTAACCCATTTAGCTTGTCGCCATTATCGTATTTTAATTTCATATCAATCAGCATGTCCATGAAGTCATTTCGCTTAACCTTGTTCTTCACACGATAGTCAACAGTATCCTTGATGATATTGATGTAAAAGTCCTCGACCTTCTGGACACTCTGCTTCATTCGCAGCTTGGCCGCCAATTTTGGGGCTCCGAAGAGAAACAAATCCATCGACTTTCCATAACGTCGATCGGTGATGGCAGAAGTTCCCATTTGCACAAATTCCGCCTTGGGATCGGATAAACTGTGGCAATCTAAGCCGAAGGCACAAGTGCCGATTACATCGGCGGTGAAACGGGCTAGTAAATCTGTGATCTCCAGGTAATCCTTACTTTCTGTTGCCTTTTGACCAAATACCCTAATCAGATCATCGCCCACGTCCAAAATGGTGGGGAACATGGTCTTCATTTTGCCAGAAGTGAATGTGGGGGTAAGCTTCTGGCGCAGATTTTTCCACTTTTGCCCCTCAATGTTTACCAGGTTAGCGGTCAGCGGATCATCACGTTCGTTATGGAATATACCGCGATCATGGAACTTGTCAAACTCGCGGATCAACACAGTCTTAGCGAAATCAATATCGGTGACTATAGCCATCTTTTTGAAATATAAATAAAATCCAACAAATGGTCCATCGGTCTTGTTCTTATACTTGAAGTAGGTTTGTTTAAAATAGTCCGATAAATGCATAGTTTTCATTAGCTCGCTAGTATTGCCGTATGGAATTTTGGGTGCATCGTGGGGAATGTCGCGACGTTTCCAATAATTGAAGTGTTGATGCACAAACCACACGGCGAAGGTAAAAACACCGACCAACAATACGATCAGAACTGCCATTTCGAAACAACTGAATAGTTCCAACAGAGGAACCGGCTCTTTTATACCCGAAGTCTACCCGATTCGCCGATCACTTAACAGTCTCCCGACTCTCTTTACACCAAGTTAGCGTTATTTTTCACTTGTGTTCATGCATTCTCTTAAGGTTTTCCACTTCATTTTTTATCCATATCTTTACTTACTTAACTAAAATCTCTATATTGTCTACTTTCATATTTAAGTTCATAGTACAAATCACATTATCTTATAACGCTTAAAAACCTACTATTATGCATGACTTTTTCTTTTGCGAAAAAAATTTCAGCATAATCGCAGAAATTTCACAATTTCCTTTTTCTCTAGCAGGTAGGTAAGATTTTCTTTATTTTATGTGTTTCATACAGTCCTAATTTGAGTTGGCTTCAAATTTTTTTTTAATGAATGGATATGTGCGAGTCATCGTTATAAAGGCCTTTTTTGTATACATGAGATAATGCGAAGCTTCTAAAATTACTGTTCTCGGGTATTTGTTTTTCACTTTCGTTCTGAGATGAAGCTCGAATTTGTGTCTTTATCTATATGTTCGCACGCATTTACTAATTTTTGTTTTGTCTGATCTCACTGATGGTATCTAAATGATAACAACGCAATATAAGCGGTGAGTAAATAATAAAAATGCTGTCAGATTTGTTTAGATGTTTCATAAAAAGGAATATAAAGTTAATTATTTTGGTATATGTACATTGTAAATTGTACACATAACAAACGTACATAGGAAAAATTTCAATAATATTATTTTCTTATAGTTATATTATTCTGCTGCATAGAAACGTTCAAATAAGTCAAAAACATGCAAATAAAAAACAAGAGAGAACGTTATAGTCGGGTGCCCCGACTATCAGATACCCGTTACTCAGATAAAGGGAGTGCGAGGGAGATGGAGATATAGATTGAAAACTTTGATCACGCATAACTTTTTAACGAATGGTCCGATTTGAAAAATTTATTGATAAACACAATAAAACTGCATTTTTACTTTTCCAAAATATTAAAGTTTTTAAAATCGTATATAAGCGATTGTGGGCGTTAGAGGGGGCGTGGCACCATTTTGAAACAAACTTGCGCTGCGTAGGAACTCCTAAAATCTGCATGCAAAATGCCAATCTTCTAGCTTTTATAGTTTCCGAGATCTCAGCGTTCATACAGACAGACAGACGGACAGACGGACAGACAGACGGACATGGCTAGATCGACTCGGCTAGTGATCCTGATCAAGAATATATATACTTTATGGGGTCGGAAACGCTTCCTTCTCCCTGTTACATACTTTTGCACGAATACAATATACCCTTTTACTCTACGAGTAACGGGTATAACAAGACAAAAAGTAGTTTTGTCTATGCAAAATAAGTTGAGGTAGGTTCGATCTCTATTAAAATATTATTTAAAGCGGAGTGCTCTTAAACATTGGTTAGATTAGATCAATCTCTTCGAAAGAGAAATTCGCCGCTTAAGAGGCAGTAAATATAAAAGAGAAGAGTGTCAGTCAAATAAATAAATTATTTATATTGAATCCAAACAAATCTAATAAAAGAAATGCGTTCTCTCGTTTTTTAATGAGTTCGTTCAGCTAGCCCGAGAAGCTTTTATGTTCAGTAGGTTTCTGAAGCTCAACTGAACTGCACTCGCGACATTTTCCGGCGGGAGAATATTTTTCACCGCACCCAAGCTGATGTCATGGGTGTTTACATCTATCTATTGACGACTGTCGCAGTGCTAGTGGGATATCTAGTATTGAAATGGCGTCGTTCCCTGCAGTACTGGCAGAATCTGGATATTCCTTGCGAGGAGCCTCATATTCTGATGGGAAGCCTGACGGGAGTGCAAACCAGTCGAACATTCTATGACATTTGGATGGATTACTATAATAAGTTTCGTGGATCTGGCCCTTTCGCGGGTTTCTATTGGTTCCAACGACCCGGAATACTTGTGCTAGACACCTCGCTGGCCAAGCTCATCTTGATTAAGGAGTTCAACAAGTTCACGGACCGCGGATTCTATCACAATACGGAGGATGATCCCTTGTCGGGGCAACTGTTCTTGCTAGACGGCCACAAGTGGAAGTCTATGAGAAACAAGCTATCCTCTACATTTACATCCGGAAAAATGAAATACATGTTTCCCACCGTGGTGAAGGTGGGACACGAGTTCATCGAAGTCTTTGGCCAGACAATGGAAAAGTCCCCCATCGTTGAGGTCAAGGATATTCTGGCCCGATTCGGTACCGACGTGATCGGCACCTGCGCATTTGGAATTGAATGCAGTAGTCTTAAAGATCCAGAGGCCGAATTCCGGGTCATGGGTCGACGGGCCATTTTCGAACACCGCCACGGACCGATTGGAATTGCGTTCATCAATAGCTTCCCTAATTTGGCCCGTCGGCTTCATTTAAAAATAACCATAGAGGAAGCCGAACACTTTTTCCTCCGCATCGTCAGGGAAACTGTGGCTTACAGAGAGCAGAACAATATCCGTCGCAATGACTTTATGGATCAGTTAATTGATTTGAAAAACAATCCACTAACAAAATCAGAGACTGGGGAAAGTGTGAGCCTCACGATCGAGGAAATAGCAGCTCAGGCGTTTGTGTTTTTCGGGGCTGGCTTTGAAACCTCATCGACCACCATGGGATTCGCCTTGTATGAACTAGCCCAGCATCAGGACATCCAAGATCGGGTAAGGGAAGAGTGCCAGGAGGTCATTGGCAAGAACAACGGGGAGCTAACTTACGAAAGTATGAAGGAACTGGTCTATTTAGATCAGGTAATAGCGGGTGAGTAAATGGAGAATTTTCCATTAAAGCTAAATAACCTTATGATTCTTTTCAAGAAACCCTTCGCCTGTACACCGTTCTTCCTGTCTTGAATCGCGAATGCCTGGAGGACTTCGTGGTTCCGGATAATCCGAAATACGTAATTAAAAAGGGAATGCCCATTTTGATTCCTTGTGGGGCCATGCACCGCGATGAGAGATTATATGCCAACCCAAACACCTTTGACCCCGATAACTTCACCCCCGAACGCGTCAAGGAGCGCGATTCCGTGGAGTGGCTTCCATTTGGCGAAGGTCCCAGAAATTGCATTGGTATGAGATTTGGCCAAATGCAGACTAGGATTGGATTGGCTTTCCTACTCAAGAACTTTAAGTTCTCCGTATGCGACCAGACCACGATTCCCATGGTATACAGCAAAAAAACCTTCCTAATATCAAGTGATACTGGAATCTTCCTGAAAGTTGAACGAGTTTAAGTTCAAATTTAAGTTAACTTCTATAACAATAACTTTACGTAAGGGACGTGTTATTGTATTGTATTGTATTGTATTGTATATAACAATTTAGCAGACACATGTCAACTTCGTGAAACCGGATAGTGACTAACCGCAGGTAAATGGTTTTAGATTACTAATTATCATTAGTTGTCTTTCAATTAACTGATTATTACCAACCAAAATAAATGCTTATCAATTCCCAGTAGCAAACATTTAATATTATGTATAGAATCGGGGAAAATATTTCAAGTGCGTAGGTAGATAGATAGTAATTTTCCCCTCCAGGCATTTCTCCTTTCTAGAGCAATTACTTTTTGTTATGAATCATTTCAGTGCTTCCTAATCTTAGTGACATTAAGGTTGATTCCACCTTCGGAGCTTAACAAAAAACTTTTGACCTTATACTTAACCGGAACCGTCGTCTTAATGGGGTGCAACTCGAATTTAAAGTTGTGAATGAGCAGGGCCATTCCAACGACGACCTGCATCCGTCCGAATCGAAGACCAATACAATTTCGAGGACCATCCCCAAAGGGCAGAAAAGTGCAGGCGGGACGTTGTTGGATTTGCTCCTCATCGAAGCGCTCTGGTATGAACTTTTCCGGTTCCGGATAGAACTCGGGATCGTGGTGGATGGCTAGGGTCGGCACCAGAACTCCAGTGTCGGCTTCAATAAAGTATTTTGGATTCGAGTGCACATAGTCCTTGGTCGCAGTACGGACCAGATGGCCCACCACAGGATGTTTTCTTAGGGTCTCTGAGAAGGAAATTAAGAAATAAAAAATATACGAAGTTTCTACAGAAGTTAACTAACCATCGATGACCTTTTCCAGATAAGTCATCTCCCGCATGCTGTCGTAATCAAGTTTTCCATGATGTTTCTCCAGAACACTATTGACTTCTGTTCGCAGTTTTTCCTGAACATCCTGATTGCAGGCCAGTTCGTATAGGGCAAATCCCATGGTGGTCGAGCTCGTCTCAAAACCAGCCAGGAAGAATATGAAGGCCTGTGCAGCGACCTCGTTGAATGTAAGGCCATTTTGCTTATCCCCATTGTCGTATTTCAGCTTAATATCGATCAGCATGTCCATGAAATCGTTCCGAGTTACCTTGTTCCTTACTCTATAATCGATGGTCTTTCTGACGATATTCAAATAAAACTCCTCTATCTCCGGGGGCATGGTCTTAATTCCCAGTTTGGCGGCCAACTTTGGTGCTCCGAAGATGAGTAGGTTCACCAGTCTGCCATGACGGCGATCGGTAATCGCCGAGTTTCCCATTCTGACGAATTCCGCCTTGGGATCCCTCAAGCTATTGCATTCCAGGCCAAAAGCGCAGATTCCAATCACGTCGGCTGTGAAACGGGCCACAAGGTCGGTGACTTCCAGGGTCTGTGAAGCGCCCGAGATCTTCTCATCAAAAACCCGAATCAGTTCATCTCCCACATTCAAAACTGTGGGGAACATGTTCTTCATTTTTCCGGACGTAAAAGTTGGGGTAAGCTTTTGTCTCAGGTTTTTCCACTTTTCACCTTCAATAGCAGTCAAATTGCTTGTCAGTGGGTCGTCCTTTTCGTTGTGATACACCCCGCGATCGTGGAACTTTTCGAAGTCTTTAATCAGCACAGTTTTCACAAAATCAATGTCGGTTATCACAATAAATTTCTTTGCAAAAACGTAGAATCCCACAAAAGGGCCGTCGGTCTGGTTTTTGTATTTAAAATACGTTCGCTTGAGGATGTGGGACATCTGCATAGTCCTTTGGAGTTCAACGGTGTTACCGAACGGAAAATTGGGTGGATCGTGGGGAATGCCCCGACGCTTCCAGTACGTATAGAGCTGTTGCACCCACCAGCCGGCGAGGCTAAGAGCACCGACCAACAGTCCGAGTAGAATCAACATTTTAGGAACAGTGAATCGGTAAGCTAGGAACGCGTTAATTATATTAAATTCGATACAAAAGAGCTTTGGGCTTTCATATCACGCACCGCTCTGTTCTAGTTTAATGAATCACAAATCATAATGAAAGCTACGCCAAATAACTAAGAACTTAAAGTTGCGACGCTTTATGGAGCATGCTCTCTTAAATAAATTAACTATTAGCATTTTACTCTTTATATTTATAATTATCCCTTAGTAAGAAATGGAAACAAAAATCAAATGCTAATTTAAATGAGTTGGTTTTTTCGTAAAAGCATATTCTGATAACATTAAGTAGATAATATATACATAGGTGGGTATAAGAAATACTGCCTTTCAGGAAAGCCATTTTGGTGCCCTTCACCTCTTGGCAGGCAATATTTATGACAACAAAGAATATTACAAAATTACAATTCTCTAACACAACATTTTTAAAAAACATAAACGCATTTTAAAATAAGATTAGTCTCTCACTACCTTGCTGACATTAAGATTAATTCCGCCCTCGGAGCTTAAAAGGAGGTTCTTGATTTGGTATTTGACCGGAAATGTAGTCTTAGTGGGATGCAAGTCGAATCTAAAGTTGCGGATGAGCAGGGCCATTCCAATCATGACCTGCATTCGTCCGAGTCGAAGACCAATACAATTTCGGGGACCAGCTCCGAAGGGCAGGAAAGCGCAGGCCGGTCGCTTTTCAATCTGCTCCTTGTCGAAGCGCTCTGGGATGAACTTTTCCGGCTCCGGATAAAACTCGGGATCGTGGTGGATGGCTAGGGTCGGCACCAGAACTCCAGTGCCGGCTTCAATGAAATACTTCGGACTGCTGTGCGCAAAGGGTTTAGTCGCAATGCGAGCCAAATGGGCCACCACAGGATGTTTTCTAAGGGTTTCTAAGCCGGAAAAATATGCATTTCGTCACTTTGTTAGGTTGTGCAATAAACGAGGAACTCACCATCGATAACCTTTTCCAGATAATTCATCTCCTGCATGCTGTCGTAGTCCAGTTTTCCATTGTGTTTTCCCAGCACAGTGTCGACTTCAGTCCTCACTTTTTCCTGTACATCCTGATTGCAGGCCAACTCGTAAAGAGCAAAGCCCATGGTTGTGGAGCCCGCCTCAAAACCAGCCAAGAAAAATGTAAAGACCTGAGCAGCCACCTCATTGAAGGTTAGGCCGCTTTGCCTGTCGCCACTATCGTACTTCAGTTTCAAATCAATCAACAAATCCATTAAATCGTTCCGAGTCACCTTGTTTTTGATCCTATATTCTATAGAGTCCCTTACAATTTTCATGTAGAATTCCTGCACCGGCGGAAGCAAGAACTGAAATCCCAGCTTAACGGCTAATTTCGGGGCTCCGAAGATTAGCAAGTCCACCAGCCACCCATGACGACGTTCTCTAAGTGCTGAGTAGCCCATTCGGACAAATTCCGCTGTGGGGTCCCGCAAACTATTGCATTCAAGACCAAAAGCGCAGATTCCAATCACGTCGGCGGTGAAACGGGCCACAAGTTCGGTGACTTCCAGGGTCTGTGGAGAGCTCGAAATCTTCTCATCTATCACCCGAATCAGTTCATCGCCTACGTTTAGGACCGTGGGAAACATGTTCTTCATTTTTCCTGGCGTAAACGTTGGCGTCAGCTTTTGGCGCAAGTTTTTCCACTTTTCACCTTCGATAGTCGCTAGATTATTTGTCAGTGGGTCGTCCCTTTCGTTGTGATAAACTCCGCGATCGTGAAACTTTTCAAAGTCGCGAACCAGCACGGTTTTCACAAAATCAATGTCGGTTATCACTATATATTTCATCGCATAGAGGTAAAATCCAACGAAGGGGCCGTCGATCTTGTTCTTGTACTTAAAATAGGTTCGCTTGATGATGTGGGCCAGCTGCATCGACCGCCAAAGTTCCCTGGTGTTGCCGAATAGAATACTGGGCGGATCATGGGGAATACCCCGTCGCTTCCAGTAAGTATAGTTTTGAAGCACCCACCAAGCGGCGAGGCTTAGAGTACCGAACAGCAAACCAAGTAGAATCGCCATCTTGAGAAGACTGATTTAGGTAAGCTAGAAATGCGTGGTCTCGACTTACAAGAGCTTTGCTTAGTCCTATCGCTCTCCACTCTATGTTTATTTTAAACCGCAAATTATTAACTGTTTACTTGCCTCTCTTTTACTATTTTCAACTTTTGGGGAAAAGCTTGAACTTTTTGTGTACCTTCATATTTAGGGATGAAACAAAAACAACTTTTAATGCTGTGACTGTTTTCAAATAAATAAATATACTGTCTAAACTTGGTCTCTTTCAGTCTACTTCAGCAAACAAACATTTTAGCTCTTTATTTTGCTAATAAAAAAAACAAATCTCAAAACAATTTTTCTGAGATTTTTTATAAAAATCATCGCAATACTAAATATATTGTAAATAGTTTTTAGGTTTTAAAAATTATTTTTATTCCTGCTACCGTAAAGTATAAAGCTTTATTATAATCGTCTGAAAGTATGTAACAGGTAGAAGCATTTCCGACCCTATAAGGTACATATATTCTTGATCAGGATCACTAGCCGAGTTGATGTAGCCAAGTACAGTCTGGCTGTATGTCCGGCCGTAGGAACGCTAAAATCTTGGAAACTAATAAAGCTAGAAAAAAACATAAGCCATGCATATTATAGGGATTTCTGCCCGATTTCTCACCACGCAAAAATCTGTGACGCTCACAGTTGTCATGCAAGAATAAAGATTTTAACTGAAATGTATTTGCTTCGTCAATACCTATCGATTGACCTAAAAAAAAGTTCATCACGCCTTTAAAATTGGTTAGCTGAGTAACAGCTCAAAAACACTATAGTCGGGTTCGTGTCCCGACTATCTAATACCCGTCACTCAGCTAAAGGGAGTGCGAACGCTGTACTCGGGTTGGTGTCCCGACTAATAATCATAACTCAGCTAAAGGGAGTGCGAAGGAGATAGATATAGAAATTTTGATTGCGTATAACTTTTTAATGAATGGTCCGATTTGAAAAATGTCTTCTACATTTCGATAGGTATAAATATGCACAACAAAATTGCATTTATACTTCTCGGAAATCTTAAAAGGTGTGGGCGCCAGACACATTTTAAAATCTTTAGTGGGCGATTGAGGGCGTTAGAGGGGGCGTGGCACTCGACTAAAATAAACTTGCGCTGCGTAGGAAGCCCAAGAATATGCGTGGAAAATCTCAACCTTCTAGCTTTTGTAGTTTTCGAGATCTCAGCGTTCATACAGACAGACAGACGGGCAGACAGACAGACGGACATGGCTAGATCGACTCGGCTAGTGATCCTGATCAAGAATATATATAGTTTATAGGGTCGGAAACGCTTCCTTCTACCTGTTACATACTTTTGCACGAATCTAATATACCCTTTTACTCAACGAGTAACGGGTATAATAAGAAATAAGAATCTCAGTTATAATGTTCTCTCTTGCTTGAATTACTTTCGACACTTTAAGGGGAGAGATACATATAAAAACTGCAATTTTTTTCATGTTTTTCGTGATTATTTTTAACCGATAAGGGATTGTGCTGGGCATGCGCGGATCCACGGGGGGTGATGTATCACCCCCACTCGGGTGAAAAATTAAAGAAATTTTGGTATTCCAAAAGTATGCAACAAAAAAATTGTTCCAATATCACCCCCCACAACAAAATTCTAGATCCGCCACTGGTGCTGGGATTTCGAAGCTTGGCATGTTGATTACATTGCTCTTATATAATTTTAATTTTTTTCTTATTTTTTTTTTGTTGTTTTTGCCTATGAAAAATACTAAAACGTACAAACATAAAGTAGGTTCAGACAGTGGGCAATTTCATTACAAACATTTCTGTAAAAGCAGCATGATGATCGAAGCATTACTTTTTGAGATACACGATCCGCAGCTGAGGAAACCAAGTAATGAAATAAATCTACTTTGCAAGGAAGGTGGGTGCTGTCATCCTGGTATAAATTCCAAAATAGCTCGAATTTCTTCTCCCCCTTAATGAATATCAAATAAAAACACCTCTTAACGAGGTAAAAACAAGAGAGAACGCTATAGTCGGGTTGGTGTCCCGACTATCTAATACCCGTCACTCAGCTAAAGCAGCGGTCGGCAGCGCCCTATTAAGTGAGCATAGGGTTTTGTTCTGCCGGCGCGCTGCTCGCACATGTATAACGTAAAACAGCGGTCTGCACACACACATCGATGAGCTGCCCAGTGAAAATTACTCACACAAATATAAAACAAAATGTCAACGTATGTGTGTGCCGACCGCTGAGCTAAAGGGAGTGCGAACGCTGTACTGGATAGTGCGAGGGAGATAGATATATAAATTTTGATTGCTTATAACTTTTTAATGAATGGTCCGATTAAAAAAATGTCTTCTACATTTTGATAGGTATAAATATACACAACAAAATTGCATTTATACTTCTCGGAAATCATTAAAGATGTGGACGCAGGACCCATTTTAAAATCGTTAGTGGGCGATTGTGGGCGTTAGAGGGGGCGTGGCGCTCGGCTAAAATAAACTTGCGCTGCGTAGGAAGCCAAAGAATATTTGTGGGAAATCTCAACCTTCTAGCTTTTGTAGTTTCCGAGATCTCAGCGTTCATACAGACAGACAGACGGACAGACGGACAGACGGACAGACGGACAGACGGACAGACGGACAGACGGACATGGCTAGATCGACTCGGCTAGTGCCCCTGATCAAGAATATATATACTTTATGGGGTCGGAAACGCTTCCTTCTAGCTGTTACATACTTTTGCACGAATCTAATATACCCTTTTACTCTACGAGTAACGGGTATAACTAGTGACGATCGCACCTTCAACGTACAAAAGTTCTGATATCAACTTTTGTGACGAAAAATGATTTTAGATGCGACTAAATAAGTACGCTACCCTAAATTTACTCGTTCGGCCCGCTTTAGCAAATATTAAATATCTACACGAAAGTTTTCTGTTGTAGCGTGCCGAATGAATAAATTTTAGGTAGCGTACTTATTTAGTCGCATCTAAAATCATTTTTCGTCACAAAAGTTGATATCAGAACTTTTGTACGTTGAAGGTGCGATCGTCACTAGTTTTTACCTCGTTAAGAGGTGTTTTTATTTGATATCAGAAGTTTTTGTTTGTTTACTTTTGCTCTCGTAGGTGTTAATATAAACATTTAAATTTAAATTGGTCATAAATCATAATTTTTAAACTATTGTATTTTAGGGCTAGTACTCAACCCAACAAAAAGTCGTCCAAAACAAAAACTTCATATGAAACAAAATTTTTTGACGTTGTTTTTCATATGAAGTTTTTTGTTTTGGACGACTTTTTGTTGGGTTGAGTACTAAGCCTTAAGGAATAATTTAAAAAGGCGTTGAAGTATTTCAAAATAACTTTTAAACGAGGTATAGCACATGTCTGTACCTTTAGTAGTGTAGAACTTACAAACTAACGAAATGTAGCTATTTTTAGCTTTTTCCCGCTAAAGTAGCGGCTTTTTCCAAAAGTCGTAGAACAAAAGTTTGCTATATGGAACTCTTAAGTGCAAATTTACTGATTCCATGACCCTAAAATACAGTTCGGATACCCTCACACAAAATTCAATACTCAGGGAGCGTTAGTAGTTCGATCTGGCAAAAGTGGCTATTTTCGTATAAAAATAACTTTTAAACGTGACTTTTTACAGTAATGTGTTGTATACCAAAATTTAAGGAATCTCAAGGGCTATACAGTTTAAAGTTTTAAAGAAAATCGTTAGAGCCGTTTTTGAGAAAAATAAAAAAAAGCTAAAAAAAAAGTTTCAAAAAATTGTCTTTTGTTCATATCTTTTTAAGTATTACATTTACACAAAGTGCATTTAGAAGGCGTTTATAGCATTTAAAAATACCTTTCAAACAAGATGCAGCACAAGTCTGTAGCTTTAGTAGTATAGAAGTTACGGATTTCAGAATTTTAGCTATTTATAGCTGTTTTCCCGCTAAACTAGCGAGTTTTTCCAAAAGTGGTAGAACAAAAGTTTTTTATATCGATGTGATGAACGTCATATAAAATTTTCAAAACTTAAAAAACATGTTTTGGACAAACTGACAAACTGACAAACTGACAAACAGAATTAAAATTTCATTTTGGGAAGACAAAGAAAATCTTATTTTGGCTATAACTTTTGAACGAAGCGTCGGATTTTATCATATGACCCCTCATTCGACGGGTATTTTCAATAGGAACACAACTAAAACATTGCGAGGGGGCATTAATCCCCACCGGCCCCAACAGCTCCAAATTTCGAAATTTTCACTTTTTCACTTTCACCGCTCTCTCTCCCAAGCCAATTGATTTTCTTAAAGTCTTGGTATGCAATCCTTTAAGTTTTTGCAATACCTTTCGATTGGTGTATTACTCATTACGATCGGACTATCACAGCAGATTTTCAATTTTGCGGCTATATAATAGTAGTCGCCTTCGCACACTCTCCTGGTGCGCTTCGTCACTACATGGACTGCCGTCCATAGTGATTATTGGTCGGGAACTATAAAAACTGGGTAGTGTAGGAAAATTAGAATAGATTTATTTCACTCAGGAACTATGTTGAAGAAGCCTTTCAAGGTCAGTGTCGTCACTGACAGTAGGACCAGGTGGGACTACCGACCAACCTATTAAATGCTATCTCGTTATCGCTTATTTATATTTTCATTCATAGCACTAGCATAGTGAAGCGTCAAAACAATGTTTAAATATCATACGGCAGGCGCTCTTGAACGCCCCTGAAAACTGTCTAGCGATATCATCGGGTCTGTAATCATGTCTAACCACAATACAAATTCAACGTCGTGCTTACATTTTGATAGGTATATTCAGTGGCGCAACTAGAATTTTGTTGGGAAGTTTTAAAACACATTTTGTGAACCCTTTTTTTTAAAACCATAGGATTTCACGAGAGGGTGTGGCGTTTAACATCCATCTCTGACCCACCCCCCTGGCTCCGCCCCTGTGTACATACTGTACGTATATGATCTTGTTCGTTGTTGTCAGCTCAAATAAAATGTGTGCGAAAATATTGTGTTGATTAGTTAATCATCGTAGGTCGAGCACAACGAATGCACAACGGGAGTAGCCAAACGATATGTATGTTCTAGTTTATTTGGTGATCGCGACCTTGTCCCTGGTAGCCTACTTGTACCACCGCAATTTCAACTACTGGAAGCGCCGGGGCGTGGCCCACGATGCCCCGCATCCTTTGTACGGCAACATGGTGGGCTTCCAGAAGGACCGAGTGATGCAGGACTTCTTCCGCGACTACTACAACAAGTACCGGAAGAGCGGCAACCCCTTTGTGGGCTTCTACTTCCTGCACAGGCCGGCAGCCTTTATTCTGGACACCAAGCTGGCCAAGAACATACTGATCAGGGACTTCTCAAATTTTACCGATCGCGGCCAGTTCCACAACGAGCGTGACGATCCTCTGACCCAGCATCTGTTTAACCTGGACGGTAAGAAGTGGAAGGATATGCGTCAAAGGCTGTCGCCCACATTTACCTCGGGCAAGATGAAGTTCATGTGCCCAACGGTGATCAAGGTGTCCGAAGAGCTCGTGAAGGTGATGACGGACCAGGTGCCAGACACCCAAAACGGGGCTGTACTCGAGATCAAGGAACTGATGGCCAGGTATACTATCGATGTAATTGGGAGCTGCGCTTTCGGCTTAGAGTGTAATACACTCCGCAACCCCGTCAACGATTTCCGCACCATGGGTCAAAAGGTTTTCTCAGAAAGACGTCACGGAAAGCTGCTAAATATGTTCATGGCCAGTTTTCCGGAGCTGGCCAAAAAGCTGAGGATGCGCACGTTACCCGAGGAAGTCCACCAGTTCTTCACGCGACTGGTGAATGACACCATTGCCGTCAGGGAGCGGGAGAACTTTAAGAGGAACGACTTCCTGAACCTCCTGATCGAGCTGAAGCAGAAGGGCAGTGTGACTTTGGATAACGGTGAGGTGATCAAGGGACTGAGCATCGAGGAGCTGGCCGCCCAAGCGTTTGTCTTCTATGTAGCCGGCTTCGAGACCTCCTCCTCGACCATGAGCTACTGCCTGTACGAGTTGGCCCAGAACCAGGACATTCAGGACAGGCTGAGGAACGAGATTAAAACGGTGCTTGAAGAGCACGAGGGGCAGTTGACCTATGAGTCTATCAACGCCATGCGCTACTTGAATCAGGTCATCTCAGGTTGGTTTTGTTCCTTTTCTTAGTCAAAAGGTGGATTTCTAAATTATTATTCTTATTATTTAGAAACTCTAAGGCTGTACACTTTAGTGCCCTTCCTCGAACGGAGGGCCCTCAACGACTACGTTGTGCCGGGTAATCCCAGGTTCGTGATCGAGAAAGGCACACAGGTCCTGATACCGTCTTGTGCCTACCACCGCGACGAGGACATGTATCCGGATCCCGAGACTTTCGATCCGGACCGCTTTTCGCCGGAGAAAGTAGCCGCCCGCGATTCCGTTGAGTGGCTGGCCTTTGGCGACGGACCGCGCAACTGCATCGGAATGCGATTTGGCCAGATGCAAGTCCGGATCGGTCTGGCCCAAATCATTAGCCGGTTTAAGGTGTCCTTTAGCGACAAGACAAAGTCCCCACTGAAGTACAGCACTTTGACCATACTCTTGGGCACAGTGGGGGGCATCGACTTGCGTTTGGATCGCATCTAAATTGAATTTATTGTGTGCCATTTTATATATCACCTGTTCATAAGCAGATATTTTCATTTTATTACAAAACTAAAGTTTAATTATTAAAATTAAATAAAACAAGAAAGGAAGCTAGCTTCGGCCAGCCGAAGCTTATATACCCTTGCAGATCATTCCTATTAATTAACAAATCGCCAAAAGTTTAAATTTTCTAATATTTCTCATTAATTTTCCGATCGTTCCTATTAGAGCCCTGCACGAGTAGACTCGTAAACAGCTCTGAGCTAGAGTTTGTTTGTTTGTTTGTGACTTTCGAGTCATAGGTCATGGGATTATCGAGTAAGCAAGTAACAGCTCCAAACAAGCTCATGTGCCTAACGGATACCTTTAAAACAGTTCAGTTCAAACAGCTCACAACAACAAAGCAAACAAGTCAAACAGCTCAGATTACTCGGACAGCCCGAACAGACCGAACAGCTCACAGGGTCTAGTGTCAAATATTTCCGGCTAATAAAACGAGCGAGTTCGTAATTATTATTTCTTTATATAGTTTTTCGTAACATTCGTAATGGCTTCTGTACCACAGGTAAGTATCGCCAAAGCATCTACACTTTGGTAACAATTTTAAAGTCTAATTAGTCTCAGCTAAGCTTGGATGAAATCAGGATGAAGGTTTTATCTGGTACTTTTACCATAAGCCAGAAACGTGGAAGAAGCGAAGTATGGGAAATTTTCGGAAACGTTCTAAATGAAAAGGGAGAAGAAATAACCAACGTCGTAGCATGCAAAAAGTGTTCACATGCAGTCAAGTATAGCAACTCTACATCTAATTTGGCTAGGCATAAATGCTTTAAAGCTCTTGAGCCAAAATGCGAAGATGAGCCAGAAGTGAAAATTGACAACGAAACGAAGTCAAAAATTGTTAAATTGGCAGCAGAGTGGACCGTCGAAAACTGTCGGCCTTTTGAGCTATTAGCAGACTCAGGCCTTTTAAAAATGGCGGATGCATTAATAAGACTCGGATCGAAGTTAGGTCAGAATTTAAAGGCGACTTCTGTGCTTCCGCACATACTTAACAACTATTACTATGTTTATACGATAGCAATCACGATTTCTTAAAAGCGCGAAATAGAAATAACCCCTGTTTATACGACAGCCGAGAATTCATGCTTTTATTCACTCTCAGCTGATAGGGATGCCGGACCGGCAAAAATATCTAATTTTTAATGCCACTGATTAGAGATATAGCCTATAAAAGGCCTTCAATTTCTAGCGATCTGGCAACGTCGATCATTTTTTACAGAGTTACCATACTGCATATCACCAAATCACGCTTTTGGGCTGAAATCATAGTCAACTTTCGTGTGTTGCCGAATTCACGAAATGGCGTTTATACAAGCACGAATCGGCCGAAAGCGTGAAATGATAGCGTGAATTCGGCATCGTATAAACACAGTATATAACATTATACACCGAGGACTTTGATCCCCTGAAGTGGTGGGAAACCAATAAAAACCAATTCCCATTATTATTTAAGGCAAGCTACCAAGTTCTGGGAACCCCCGCAAGCAGTGCTTCATCTGAAAGATCCTTTTCTTTGGCCGGAAATCTTATTTCAGAGAAGCGCAATGCCATTGCAACAAATCCAGAAATGATAAAGGAAATAATGTTCTTAAACTGTAATACAAACAAATAAAAATTTATAACATCAAAACAACTTATTAGCCAAAATAAGAAACGTTGAACTGCTATAAGTAAATTAATTAAAATATTAAGCAATATAATATTCTCCGAATTTCTTCAATCAGATTGCTTTTCCTACAAAAGATCTGTTCCTACATAACATTGTTGAGCTCTGTACCTACATAACACTTTTGAGCTCTGTTCCTACATAACATTTTTTAGGTATGTTCGGATACTTGATCTACTAAACATGATCTATGACCTACTATACTTGCTTTTTTTCGATCAAACAAACAGCTCAACGTAAAAATGTGTGAGCTGAGCTACTTGATCCGAAAATTTCTATGAGCTGATTTACTCGAACTGTTTTTCTGAAATTTGAGTCAAAGGGCATTTCGAGTATACTCGTGCAGGGCTCTAGTTCCTATGGCAGCTATATGATATAGTCGTCCGATTTTGATCAAATTAAAATTGAAATTCAGAAATATTTAAAAAGAGTTATATCCTAGAGTAGAAGATAATACAATAAAAACCAAAGAAGCTAGAATTTATTTCCTATTACTTTTCCATTAATTTTCCGATCGTTCCTATGGCAGCTATATGATATAGTAGTCCGATTTTTAAAATAATTAATTCGAAATTCAGAAATATTTAAAAAATGTATATTTAATTTCGGAATTCGTAACGAATTCACATTTATCGCATACATCAAGGTACATTTTAACAGCAATAATTTGGTAACACAGTGTTATTAGTTGTTCAATTACGTAGCCAGCAATGACTCTCTATAAATAATCTACCTCATGGTACTCAGGCATTTGATTATTTCTTTTTCCCAAACACAGGCGTAATCTAAAAATACCAGAACAATAGATTGCTGGGGAAAGCAAACGAGTATTTCATCAGGATACGGGCTATTACAGCATTAATTTCATATTTTATACAAAGTTTGGTTAATTGATAATATTTTATGCTCAAACTGAACCTTAAAAAAAAGTTAAGTAAACTTATAATATGATCGAATTAATCAAATTAAACAAAAACACCTCTTAAAATTAAAATGTCATTTGGCATATATTTTTTTTAGCATCTTTGTTCTTTCACAGATTTTTTTCTGAGCCATGTGATTATCCTTTAAGTTTTAACCCTCGCACTGATCATACTATCAGCATTTTTTCAACTCAGCGGCTTTTTATAGTAGTATCACTACGTTTACTGCTGTTTACATGATAAGATTTTTTTGACGGAGATAAAGGGAGAACGTTTTCTTATAAATTCAAAGAATACCGATTTTTAACTTAGTGTCGAACGAAAGCTGAACGAAAAATGTCGCTGTTACTAACGTTGATCGCTCTTCTAATATCGCTGCTTTTATTCGTCGTACGACGGAATTACGGATATTGGCAAAGGAGAGGTATTCCCCACGATGTGCCTCATCCTCTTTATGGAAACATGAAGGAGTGGCCGAAGAAAAAAATGATTGCCCAGATCTTCCAGGACTACTATTTAAAGTACAAGGGCTCGAATTATCCATTTGCTGGTTTTTTTTTCTTTTTTACCCGGAACGCTGTGATTACTGATTTGGATCTGGTTAAAAGAGTATTAATCAAGGACTTTAACCACTTTGAGAACCGGGGAGTTTTTTACAATGAGATCGATGATCCACTTACGGGTACATTATTCAGCATTGAAGGTCAAAAGTGGCGTAATTTGAGGCACAAGCTTACACCCAGTTTTACGTCCGGAAAAATGAAGAACATGTTTCCCATTGTTGTGCAGGTTGGACAACACCAGGTGAAGGTCGTATAATTGAAATTGTGGATCTAGTGGCCCGGTATACAGCAGACGTAATCGGTAACTGCGCCTTTGGTCTCAACTGCAATAGTCTGCAGAATCCCAATGCCGACTTTGTGACTTTTGGCAAACGAGCGATAAATGAACGTCGCTTTGGGGGACTATTGGATTTCCTCATTTTCGGCTTTCCAACTTTAGCTCGCCGCTTGCGCCTTAAATTTAACGTTCAGGAAGTAGAGGACTTTTACTTTGGAATAGTGAGAGATACAGTCGACTACCGGCAAAAGAACAAGGAGAAGCGAAATGACCTAATGGACAGTTTAATCGAAATGTACCAGAAGGAGCAGGCTGGAAACAGTGAGGATGGACTCACCTTCAATGAGGTGGTGGCCCAAGCTTTTCTTTTCTTTGTCGCTGGGTTTGAAACGAGCTCTACGACCATGGGATTCGCACTCTATGAAATGGCCCGCAACCAAGATGTCCAGGATAAAGTCAGGGAAGAGATCAACAATGTTCTTTGCAAGCATAATAACGAGTTTACCTACGAGGGAATCAAAGAGATGAAGTATTTGGAGCGGGTCGTCATGGGTAAGTGGAACAGGAGCCTCTCGATGTGAATCAAGCTTTTCTCATTAACTCATCCCCGTTTTACCCCCTAGAAACCCTCCGCAAGTACCCTGTTCTGGCACATCTAACAAGAATGACCGGGTCGGACTTTTCACCCGAAGATCCCAAGTCCTTTATTGCCAAGGGCACTATCGTTGTGATCCCAATTTTAGGCATTCACAATGATCCAGAAATAATTTCGCAAACCGGAGATATTCAACCCGGATCGTTTTACGGATGAGGCAATCGCTGCGAGACCCTCTTGCACCTGGCTTCCGTTTGGAGAAGGTCCCCGAAATTGCATTGGTCTTCGATTTGCTCTGATGCAAACCTGCGTCGGATTGGCCCATCTGATCAGGGGTTATAGATTTAGTTTCGCCCCCCAGACGGAAGAACAAATTAAATTTGCTTTGGAAGGCGTTCTAATGTCAGCCAAAAATGGAATTCGTCTTCAAGTTGAGAAGATTTTAAATTGATATGATTATTATAACTTACGTCGTTTTTCATACATCTAAAAAACAACTGCTCTTTTCGTATTTTAAATACATTCTTACCTCAAAAACAATGTGTGATTGTTTAAATATTATACATATTAATCTCCAAACCAGCATTTTCTGTTTTTAATGAAACGACTTTCATAGACTCTAGTTTTAAAAATATAAATCTAACATTTTTTGTATATTATTTTAAGACTAAGATGTAATTTCGGTTTTTGCTGCTTTTTGAATTGGACCACATCTTCGTCGCATGTATAAATTTGAAGGCAAGGATTTGAAGAAAAAAGGTTTTTGTGTTGGTACATTTTTTTGAAATTTTTAGGTCCGTATAGGTAAATTTTACCAATCAAATTTTTTTGTGTGTTTAGCGCCCATATTGCGTACGCAGTGGTACCAGTGTCTTTCGCTGTAATTCTTGTTTTAAAGTTGGTTATATACTCTATACAAAGCATTGCTAAATACAAATTATTATATTAAAATTATAAATGTATCATATTGTAAGCTTTTCGACTTTAAGGTGAATCCCATTCTCTGCGGACAGAAGAATGCTCTTCGCGACAACCTTCATTGGTATTTGGGTCTCCGGGGCGACACTAAACTTATAGCCTCTGATCAGGTGGGCCAATCCCACGCAGGTTTGCATCAGTCCAAAGCGGAGACCAATGCAGTTCCGGGGACCTTCTCCAAATGGAAGCCACGTGCAGGAGGGTCTCGCAGCGATTGCCTCATCCGTAAAACGCTCCGGCTTAAATTTCTCGGGTTCGGGATATATTTCAGGATCATAATGAATGCCCAGAGCTGGGATCACAACGACTGTGCCCTTAGCAATAAAATATTTGGGGTCTTCCGGTGAAAAATCAGTTTGGGTCATCCGCGTCAGATGAGCCAGAACAGGGTATTTGCGAAGGGTTTCTGCATTGTGAAGTTGGTTTTAGCAAAAATTAAAAAGAAACATTGTGAAGCTGCTGTTATGCTTACCCATAACGACCTGCTCCAGATAGGTCATTTCTTTGATACCCTCGTAAGAGAACTCGTTATTGTGCTTGCCAAGAACACGGTTAACCTCCTCACGCAGTTTATCCTGTATATCCTGGTTGCGGGCCAGCTCGTAGAGGGCAAAGCCCATAGTTGTAGAACTCGTCTCGAACCCAGCGACAAAGAAAATAAAGGCTTGGGCACAGATCTCGTTGAAGGTAAGGCCATCCTCAGTGTTTCCAGCCTGCTCCTTCTTGTACATTTCGATTAAACTGTCCATAAAGTCATGCCGCTTCTCATTGGTCTTCAATCGGTAGTCAATTGTATCCCTTACGATTCCAGTGTAGAAGTCCTCCACTTCCTGGACGTTCAATTTAAGTCGCAAACGGCGAGATAACTTCGGGAAGCCGAAAATAAAGAAGTCCAGAAGTCCTCCATAGCGACGTTCATTTATAGCTCTTTTGCCAATGGTGACAAAGTCCGCCTTCGGATTGTTCAGACTATTGCAATTGAGGCCGAACGCGCAATTACCGATTACGTCAGCCGTATAGCGAGCCACTAGATCAACCACTTCAAGAACTTGACCTTGACCAGAGGTAGTTTTTCCGCTGAAGATCTTCTCCATTTCCTCTCCAACCTTTACAACAATCGGAAACATGTTCTTCATTTTTCCTGACGTAAAAGTGGGCGTGAGCTTATGCCTCAAATGACGCCACTTTTGGCCTTCAATGCTGAACAAAGTAGCCGAAAGCGGATCATCGATCTCGTTGTAGAAAATACCGCGGTTCTCGAAGTGATTAAAGTCCTTGATCATCACTCTCTTGACCAACTCCAAGTCGGTTATGACGGCGGTTTTGGTGAAAAAGAAGTAGAAACCGGCGAATGGGTAGTTTGAGCTCTTGTATTTTAAATAGTAGTCCCGAAATATCTTCGCGATGTGTCGCTTCTTGGGCCAGTCCTTGATGTTTCCGAAAAGTGGGTGTGGCACATCGTGCGGAATACCCCTCCGCTGCCAATATCCAAGACGTCGGCGGGCCACGAATAAAAGCAGCGACACTAAAAGCGCTATCAACGTTAGCAACAGCGACATTTCTCGTTCGCGTTCCAGTCAAAACTGAATTCAAACCCGGCATGATACGTCGTTTATATGGAGAACGTTCTCTTTTAATCTCTCAAACTGAACTCTTATCTCATCGATAAACGCGTTCTAAATTGTTTTTGCTGCTAATGGCTCATTGTGCAATTTCTATCAACAGAAACACCTTAACACATTTCACATTAACAAAGGTAAACTCACTTAGAAAATGTAAAAACATAACAAAAGATTAGGTAGAGAGAATGTTCTTATTCGTATAACTGAGAGCATTATTTCTCTTTTAGAGCGAATTAATAACAAGTGCGGTTACGTAATATTATCGACAATAAAAAACCAATAAAAAATCCTATTTTGACTGTGTTGTCTGCTCTGCAAAAGTTTATAACATGAAACCCTCTATAAATGTATGTTTAATTGTCCGGAACCATTAAAACCATTACTTCCTTGCGTTATATATACACAAGAAGGTTATTTTGTATTTGACCGGATTTGACGAGCTCTACAAACACATGGCGATAACTAAATGAAAATGAATAAATTCCTGGCACAATTTTTTTTTGTTTTTTAATCTGAGGCACCCACTAATAAATGATTAGTTAGATTTACAATTGCAAATTCAGTTCTGGAGATCAATGTGCATGATATTTAAACAATCGCACAAAGAGGAGTGGTTTTTTGATATATGAACAAGAGAGAATGCTATAGTCGGGTTGTTGTCCCGACTAATAATCGAAACTCAGCTAAAGGGAGTGCGAGGGAGATAGATATATAATTTTTGATTGCGTATAACTTTTTAATGAATGGTCCGATTTGAAAAATGTCTTCTACATTTCGATAGGTATAAATATACACAACAAAATTGCATTTATACTTCTCGAAAATCTTTAAAGGGCGCAGGACCCATTTTAAAATCGTTAGTGGGCGATTGTGGGCGTTAGAGGGGGCGTGGCGCTCGGCTAAAATAAACTTGCGCTGCGTAGGAAGCCAAAGAATATGTGTGGGAAATCTCAACCTTCTAGCTTTTGTAGTTTCTGAGATCTCAGCGTTCATATAGACGGACAGACGGACAGACAGACAGACAGACAGACAGACGGACAGACGGACATGGCTAGATCGACTCGGCTAGTGACCCTGATCAAGAATATATATACTTTATGGGGTCGGAAACGCTTCCTTCTAGCTTTTACATACTTTTGCACGAATCTAGTATACCCTTTTACTCTACGAGTAACGGGTATAAAAACGACGTTACGTATAATAATATCATTTTAAATCTTCTCAACATGAAGGTGAATTCCATTTTTGGCTGACATTAGAACGCTTTCCAGGGCAAAATTAATTTTCTGTTCCGTCTGGGGCGCAAATCTGAACTTATAGCCCCTGATCAGATGGGCCAATCCCACGCAGGCTTGCATCAGAGCAAATCGAAGACCGATGCAGTGTCGCGGTCCTTCGCCAAATGGAAGCCAGGTGCAGGAGGGTCTCGCAGCGATTGCCTCATCCGTAAAACGATCCGGGTTAAATTTCTCAGGATCGGGATAGATTTCCGGATCATTGTGAATGCCTAGAATTGGAATCACAACAATAGTGCCCTTGGCAATAAAGGACTTGGGATCTTCGGGCGAATAGTCCGACCCGGTCATTCTTGTTAGATGTGCCAGAACAGGGTACTTGCGGAGGGTTTCTACGGGGTAAAATGGGGATAAGTTAATAAGAAAAGCCCGATTCACATCGAAAGGCTGCTGTCCACTTACCCATGACGACCTGCTCCAGATACTTCATCTCTTTGATTCCCTCGTAGGTAAACTCGTTGTTGTGCTTGCCCAGAACATTGTTGATCTCTTCCCTGACTTTATTCTGAACATCCTGGTTGCGGGCCATTTCATAGAGCGCGAATCCAATGGTCGTAGAGCTCGTCTCGAACCCAGCGACAAAGAAAAGAAAAGCTTGGGCCACCACCTCATTGAAGGTGAGTCCATCCTCAGTGTTTCCAGCCTGTTCCTTCTTGTACATTTCAATTAAACTGTCCATTAGGTCATTTCGCTTCTCCTTGTTCTTTAACCTGTAGTCGACTGTTTCTCTCACGATTCTAAAATAAAAGTCCTCTACTTCCTGGACGTTAAATTTAAGGCGCAAACGGCGAGATAGGTTTGGAAAGCCGAAAAGTAAGAAATCCAATAGTCCTCCATATGGCCGTTCGTGAACCGCTCGTTTGCCAAAAGTCACAAAGTCGGCATTGGGATTTTGCAAACTATTGCAATTGAGACCAAAGGCGCAGTTACCAATTACATCAGCTGTATATCGCCCCACTAGATCCACAATTTCAATTACCTGACCTTCACCTGTGGTTGTTTTGCCGCTGAAGATTTTATCCAATTCTTCTCCAACCTTCACAACAATGGGAAACATGTTCTTCATTTTTCCGGACGTAAAACTGGGTGTAAGCTTGTGCCTCAAATTACGCCACTTTTGACCTTCAATGTTGAATAATGTACCCGTAAGTGGATCATCGATCTCATTGCAAAAAACTCCACGATCCTCAAAGTAATTAAAGTCCTTGATTAGTATTCTTTTAACCATATCCAAATCAGTGATCACAGCGTTCCGGGTGTAAAAGAAAAAAAAGCCAGCGATTGGATAATTCGAGCCCTTGTACTTTAAATAGTAGTCCCGGAAGATCTGGCCCATCATTTTTTTCTTCGGCCAGTCCTTCATGTTTCCATAAAGTGGATGAGGCACATCGTGGGGAATTCCTCTCCTTTGCCAATATCCATAATTCCGTCGTGCAACAAATAAAAGCAACGATATTAGAAGAGCGATCAGCGTCAGTAACAGCGACATTTTTCGTTCAGCTTTCTTTCCACACTAAGCTAAAAATCGGCATTCTGCGTTTTTATAAGAAAACGTACTACCTTTATCTCCGTCAAAAACATCTTATCATGTAAACGGCAGTAAACGGAGTCCCGAAGCCCGATTTGATCTATTTGACCATAATGTCAGTTTACGTAAATTCTTTTATTTTAGGTTTAGTCTCAGCATAAAATATTATTAATTCATCAAACTTTGTATAAAATTTGAAATTAATTCTCTAATAGCGCATATCCTGGTGAAATACTCATTTGCGTTCCGCAGCAACCTGGTATATTGGTATTTGCAAATGTAGATAACGCCTGTTTGAAAAATGCCTGAGCACCATGAGTTAGATATTTATAAAGAGTCATTACTTGCATAGGAAATCGAACAAATAATGATGATTACCCCTCTTCGCTTTTGCGTCCGATAGCACCAGCTTACAAAAAAAATCGAAGAAATACGCCATTAAGGCAACCTTGCTTTTCCGGTACATCTTCCAGATTAAGAAAAGGGTACTTAAAATTTGTTGTATGGTACCAATTATCTTTTAAGTGTAAAAAACGTTTTTAACACTTTTTTATTTTCAAACTCGAGTTCGGATACACGTCGTTGAGCTCCAGTCATTAATTTAAAAGTTGTATAACTTTATTGTTGAATAAAAATAAAAATCAAGAAGGAACACCATAGTCGAATGTGGTCTGACTTCCAGGGCATCTGAAAGGGTATACAAATGAATGAGCGAAAGGTTAATCGAAACTTACCGTTAATTAGAAAACGACCTGAAGCAGTCAAAAATAATCATTATTTCTGATCGGAAATAATAAAACTCAAAATTAATGATTATTGTTGAATTTTGTTTTTTCGCTCAGAAGTAAAACTCAAATTTCCTAATTATTTTAGATTTTTATTTTAATACTCAAAATCATTATTCTTGTGCATTTTAAAATAAAACTCATAATGATTACGGTCCCCGGTATAAATATTTTCCATTAAAAATATGTGGCAAAATGGTTACTCTTTTTAGAAAATATTTCAAAAACAATTTTTCGATGCGATCAACTTGTAAGCTTGTCAGTTTATTTTAACATCAAAAACGGCTCTTAAAAAGCTAGATAGGTTCACATAAACTAAATCCTTATATCTACAGCTTATGTACTATTTTAAAAGCTTTTCCACTCTTAGATGGATCCCATTTTCGGCGGATATTAGAATGTTTTTCTCGACAATCTTCATGGGAATTTGTGTCTCCGGCGCAACACTAAACTTATAGCCCCTGATCAGGTAGGCCAATCCCACGCAGGTTTGCATCAACCCGAATCGCAGACCAATGCAGTTCCGAGGTCCTTCGCCAAACGGAAGCCAGGTGCAAGAGGGCCTCGACGCGATTTCCTCGTCTGTGAAGCGTTCTGGCCTAAATTTCTCCGGTTCGGGATAGATTTCCGAATCGTAATGAATGCCAAGAGCTGGAATTACAACGATTGTGCCCTTGGCAATAAAGTTCTTTGGATCTTCGGGTGAAAAGTCTGTATCGGTCATTCTCGTTAGATGCGCCAGAACGGGGTACTTGCGAAGGGTTTCTGGAAGCATACGGAATGATTAATAGTTCACTCATAAAAATAATTTTCTACATTTTAGAAAATCGCCCTAAAAAAATGTTCGCCCTTGAACTGAGAAAAATTTTCTATTTTCACGACAAATTTGCCATAAATTCAAGGCAGGAGACCATAAAAAAATATTTTTAGGGTTAATTTTTCTACTTTTCTAATATTTAGGGCGATTTTTTCGATTTGCTTCGTTTTGACCTTTTCTAAATCCAACGGCGAATTGCCCTAATTTTTTTTCTAAAATTTGTCTAAATACAAGGGCGATTCGCCTTAAAAATCACTCCAAAAGTGTGAAATTCGGTAGCCCAGCGGTCTAATCACTTGCGCTTTCAACTTTGCTATATGAGGACTAAGGTCGTGGGGTTGTGGGTTCGAACCCTGTGTGATTCAACTTGATTTTTATGTTTTTTTTTTTTGTAAACGTTATAATACTAAGGACATTTTTTCGTCCGAATTTTAAATTAAAGTAGTCTTTAAACCTTAAAAACGTATGGGAGTTCTGAGTTAAAAGCATACTTTGTGTTTGCTGGCAAGAAAACGGGACTAATTGTCACAGTCGTCAGGAAAAAATATTCGGTTTAGTTGCCTTTAGTCAAATTATAACGTAGACCTCAGGAAAATAAGATGTCTGCAGAGTTTGTTCGTTGTCTTGCGCGATGGGTCTGTGGTGCAGCGGTAGAACGTTAGACTCTAAACCGAGAGGTCGTGGGTTCGATTCTCGCAATGACCAAAAAAAGTAAGTTGTTTTTTCTCCTCATATTTATTTCCCTAATTCGTTTACAAACATGATTTTTCAGTTCTAACGGCTGTGTTGTATAGATCGGGCCCCCTCCTAACGCAGCTCCCATATAAGCTACACACCAATACAATAATATGCAACGGTCTCCTCCGTCGGTGTTGTTTAATTAAAGCAGTCCCAGTTCCCAGAATATACACGACTAAAATTCATGCTTCCCAAATTCAGTTAAGCATGCTCAAACACGATTTTTTTTAATTTGCATAATTTTTTAGGGCATTTGCCTTTAAAAACAGAAAGTTCGCCCTTACTTTTAGAAAAATACGCCTTAAACTTAGGGCAAATCACCCTAAAAATAGGAAAATATTTCTCAATACAAGAAAAATCACCCTAATTAAACCAAATTTCCATAGGGATTTTTTAGAAAATTTTTCTAAATACACGGGCGAATCGCCAGCGGATACGATTTATGGGCGATTTTCTAAATCCACGGGCGAAAAGTCAGTTTTTTAGGGCGATTTAGGGTAAAAATTTCTATGAGTGTTGTTATAGAGAGATCATAAGAATCTTACCCATCACAACCTGCTCCAGATACTTCATCTCTTTGATTCCCTCGTAGGTGAACTCGTTGTTGTGCTTGCCCAGAACATTTTTAATCTCCTCCCTGAGTGAATCCTGAACATCCTGGTTGCGGGCCAGTTCATAGAGGGCAAATCCCATGGTCGTGGAACTCGTCTCAAAACCAGCCACAAAAAATATGAAGGCCTGGGCCAGTAGCTCGTTGAAGGTAAGGCCGTCCTCTGAGTTTCCCGACTGCTCATTCTTATACATCTCTATAAGACTGTCCATAAAGTCGTTTCGCTTCTCGTTAGTCTTCAATCGGTAGTCAATCGTTTCCCTTACGATCTTGGTGTAAAAGTCCTCTGCCTCCTGGATGTTTAACTTTAGGTGCAGGCGGCGAGATAGCTTAGGAAATCCGAATAGAAATATATCCAGCATATTCCCATAGCGATGCTCGGTGATCGCCCGTTTGCCAATTGTCACAAATTCCGCCTTAGGATCGTGCAAACTATTGCAATTGAGACCAAACGCGCAGTTGCCTATTACGTCAGCGGTATACCGGGCCACCAGATCCACAACCTCCAGAACTGGACTTTGACCCAATTCAGTTTTACCACTGAAGATCTTATCCATTTCATCGCCAACTTTCACAACTATCGGGAACATGTTCTTCATTTTGCCGGACGTAAAAGTGGGCGTGAGTTTATGCCTCAAGTGACGCCACTTTTGGCCTTCAATGCTGAACAAAGTAGCCGAAAGTGGATCGTCGATCTCGTTGTAGAAAACTCCCCGATTTTCAAAGTGATTAAAGTCCTTGATCATCACTCTCTTGACCAGTTCCAAATCGGTGACCACAGCAGTCCGGGTAAAAAAGAAGAAAAACCCGGCGAATGGGTAGCCCGAATCTTTGTACTTGAAGTAGTAGTCCCGGAATATCTTGGCAATATGACGCTTATTGGGCCAGTCCTTGATGTTTCCGTAAAGTGGGTGTGGCACATCGTGCGGAATACCCCTCCTCTGCCAATATCCGTGACGTCGGCGGGCCACAAATACAAGCAGAGACACTATAACCACGATCAGCGAAAGCAGCAACATTTCTCGTTCACGTTCCGGTCGAAACTGAGTTCAAAATGGAATGCTACATCGCCTATATGGTCTCTTTTGCTCTCTTTCTCCGCTCTCTTATGCGGTTTATCTTATTAAAATCGTAATTTACGGTTCGTAAACATTTGTTTACTGGATACACAAAATTGTACTCTGCTGAAGCGGTAATACTACTTTCGTCTTAATAATATAAGAATTGATATTATTTAATATCACAAGCGCTGGTGAAATGCGCAAAAACAAATTCGTGTGACGACATAAATATTTAATCAAATACCAAAACCCAAATAAGCTAGATAAGGTAGACAGCGCAATCAAAAAATGCGTTACTAGAACGTATATTGATAAAAATGTGTTATTATACGTATTTTACATAATCAAATTAAAATGTACATCAAATTACAATCTGGATGCCGGCTTGATAAGAACCACTATCTCCTCACTTGGCTCAGCTCTTGGACCTTCAGGTAAATGCCATTAGCAGGGCACAGCAGAATATTCGACTTCACAAACTCGATTTTTGGGTCAGTTCGCGGACAGACGCTGAAGTGAAAGCTCCTGAGCAGGTTGACCAGACCGATTGTTGTCTGCATTTTGCCAAATCTCATTCCGATGCAGTTACGGGGTCCATCGCCGAAGGGCAGCCAAGAGGCTGTGGGTCGCTGGGCCAGTTGATCGGCCAAAAACCGCTCCGGTATGAACTTATGGGGCTCTGGATATAAAGCGGGATCATGATGGATGCCATAGACCGGAATTAGTAGCATCTGACCGGGTTCAATGTAGAAATGACGGTCGCCTTTGGCGGCGTATAAATGCCTGGAGATCCGAGTCAGCTGCGGTAGTATTGGATATTTCCGAAGGGTTTCTAGAAAATATAGGAAGAACAGGTCGGATATTACAACTTGTGGCGCTAAAAATCTGTTTTAATTGGTCAAAAATAGCACTAAAAGTTAGGAGAACAATACTAGTTTCGATATGTATGTACTTCAATAAAATATTAATTAGAGTACGATTTTTCAAATTGAACATATAAAAAAATTATTTTTTTCAAACTCTTAGAGAGTTTTACTTACTAGTCTTTTTTATAATTTGTTCGAGTTCTTTTAACGGTGCTATGAATTTTGTAGGTAAAGATCTTTAAAAGTTATGTTAAAATTTATATTAGTTTATTTTGCAATATCATTTGATCACCGCCGATATCATCACTATGGACGGCAGTCCATGTAGTGACGAAGCGCACCAGGAGAGTGTGCGAAGGCGACTACTATATATACACGAAGAAATGAAAATCTACTGTGATGGTCCGATCATAATGAATGATACACCTATCGAAAGGTATTGCGAAAACTAACAGGATTGCATACCAAGACTCTGAGAAAATCAATTGGCTTGGGAGAGAGAGCGGTGAAAGTGAAAAAGTAAAAATTTCGAAATTTGAAGCTGTTGGGGCCGGTGGGGATAATTGCCCCCTCGCAAGATTTTATTTGTATTCCTTTTGAAAATACCCGTCGAATGAGGGGTCATTTGTCAAAATCGGACGCTCCGTTCAAAAGTTATAGCCAAAATAAGATTTTCTTCGTCTTCCCAAAATGAAAATTTAATTCTGTTTGTCAGTTTGTCAGTTTGTCAGTTTGTCAGTTTGTCAGTTTGTCAGTTTGTCCAAAATATGTTTTTTAAGTTTTGAAAATTTGATATGACGTTTATCACATCGATATAACAAAATTTTGTTCTACCACTTTTGGAAAAACTCGCTAGTTTAGCGGGAAAACAGCTATAAATAGCTAAAATTCGGAATTCCGTAACTTCTATACTACTAAAGCTACAGACTTGTGCTGCATCTCGTTTGAAAGGTATTTTTTAATGCTATAAACGCCCTTTATATCCAATTTGTGTACATTTAATAGTTAAAAAGATATGAACAAAAGACATTTTTTTTAAACTTTCTTTTTAGCTTTTTTTTAATTTTCTCAAAAACGGCTCTAACGATTTTCTTTACAACTTTAAACTGTATAGCCCTTGAGATTCCTTAAATTTTGGTATATAACACATTACTGTAAAAAGTCACGTTTAAAAGTTATTTTTATACGAAAATAGCCACTTTTGCCAGCTCGAACAACTAACGCTCCCTTAGTATTGAATTTTGTGTGAGGGTATACGAACTGTATTTTAGGGTCATGGAATCAGTAAATTTGCACTTAAGAGTTCCATATAGGAATCTTTTGTTCTACGACTTTTGGAAAAAGCCGCTACTTTAGCGGGAAAAAGCTAAAAATAGCTAAATTTCGTTAGTTTGTAAGTTCTACACTACTAAAGGTACAGACATGTGCTATACCTCGTTTAAAAGGTATTTTGAAATACTTCAACGCCTTTTCAACTTAATTTGTTAAAATATAATAGTTTAAAAATTATGATTGACCAATTTAAATTTAAATGTATATATTAGCTCCTATGAGAGCAAATGTAAACAAACAAAAACTTCTGATATCAAATAAAAACACCTCTTAACGAGGTAAAAAACTAGTGACGACCGCACCTTCAACATACAAAAGTTCTGATATCAACATTTGTGACGATAAATTATTACACTCGTCATTAAATAGACTTTCTAATATTTTCTCATTCGGCACGCTGCAATAGAAAATGCCTGTAACGGGAAAAGGGCTGGAATAGTTTGCTAGGGCGGCCCGAATGAGAAAATATTAGAAAGTCTATTTAATGACGAGTGTAATAATTTTTCGTCACAAATGCTGATATCAGAACTTTTGTATGTTGAAGGTGCGTTCGTCACTAGTTTTTTACCTCGTTAAGAGGTGTTTTTATTTGATATATATGACATAGGAACTTAAAATTATGAAAGAGAGAAACGCAAAGGTGCCAGTTCTCTGATTAAAGAAGATTCAGGGAAATGGAGACATGCAAGCAGCAAATCGACTGCTTTAAAAATTACTAAGCTCCACTCATCCATTAACAAGTAAACACTTGTACCAGACACAATATAATGTGATAATGTGCAGTCCGACCCACCTGCAATGACTAGTTCCATGTAACGAAGCTCCTGCATGGAATCGTAGGTGAATTCCCCCTGATGTAATCGCAGCGCCTCGTCGATTTCCTGGCGCAGCTTCACCTGCAATTCCGGCTGTTTGGCCAACTCGTAGAGGGCGAATCCCAAGGTCGAAGCGGAGGTGTCGAAGCCCGCGACAAAAAATATAAAAGCCTGGGCGGCCATTTCCTCGATGGTGAGCTCACCCCTCTGCTTCATTTCGATCAGCAGGTTCATGAAGTCGCTCCTCACGATGCCCTGCTCCTCCCTCTGCCTTACGGTTTCCCGGACAATGCCCACATAGAAGTCCGTAATCTCGGGGTGGATCTGGCGCATGCGCAGCAGTCGGGCCAGATCGGGAAAACTCTCGATAAACCCATCGATCAGCTTGCAGTGGCGGCGCTCTGAAAAGGCTCTTCTTCCCATTGTGGCGAACTCGGCCTCGGGATTCCGTAGGCCATTGCATTCAACGCCAAAGGCGCACCGCCCGATGACATCGGATGTGTAGCGGGCCATCAGATCCCCGATCTCGAGGATGCCGCACATGGCATTATCCGCCAACTCGCCGCAAACCTGGCCAAGTTCCTCGCCCACTGCGCAAACCGTGGGAAACATGTACTTCATCTTGGCGGAACTGAAGGTGGGCGACATCTTCTGGCGCAGGGGTCGCCACTTGGGTCCATCGATGCGGAATAGGTGACCGGTCAGAGGATCGTCCCGCTCATTATGGTACATTCCTCGATCCTCAAAGTTGGCGAAGTCCCGTATAAGAATCTGCTTGGCCAATTCCAGGTCCGTGATTAAAACCACGGGTCTTAGCATCATAAAGAAACCGGCGAAGGGAGCTCCATTGGACTTGAACTTCTCATACAGAGGGGTTACAATATCGATGAAGTGCTTCGTTTTCCGGAATCCCTCCATATTGCCCACGGGAAATCGGGAGGGATCATTTCCAATGCCCCGACGGGTCCAGTAACTATATCGCGTGCGCACAAACCAAAAGCCCACTGCAAGGGCGATCAGTAGCAGAGCCACCACATCCAGCATCCTCTCTCTATGGATTTCACTTTCAACTGTACGCTGGAAAAACGCGTCTATCCGATTTGCTTCTAATCAGCTGAAGTTCCAATGTAAACAAGCCCGGACAGATAACCTCGTCAAATAAAACCTCGGTAGACTGAAACGAATGGGAATCGAAGCTGGGACTTGAAAGCTTTGAGCTGCGAATAAAGCTAAAGCGGACGGATGAGGGAGAGACAAGTGCAGTTAAACCGCCTTTATCTCGAGTAATATAAGACAGCTTGAAATAACCCCTCATATGTATCATATAATTACATTTATATTGATTTCAGAAATTATATAGATTTTATGAATTCGTCTTTAATGAAGTTAGGGTTTCGGGCCACAAACCAATTAGATACATATATTTTTAAAATATAGGCAGCAAATATGCTTGCGAGGGAAACACGAGCTAGGTCATTATGGGAACAAACACCCTATTAAATTTGATTCTAATTTAGCAGGGGTGTCGAAGAAATCTCCGACCAAATTTCCCCCGCTGTTTTACAGCATACGTGAGCTGGCAGAGGATGGGTAGAGCAATTCAGTATACGCACTTATTAGGCCGCTGCCGACCGCTGGTTTAAAACTATCCAAACAGTTGCCTTTGTATAAAGCAGCGGTCGGCAGCGCCCTATTAAGTGAGCATAGGGTTTTGTTCTGCCGCCGCGCTGCTCGCACATGTATAACGTAGAACAGCCCACCGGGAAAGTGAGAAGGTGGTTCTTTGTGTGCTGAAAATCCTGTTCCTTTTAGCAGAAAGTGTTGGAAATCCTGTTTCTTTCAGCAGGCGACGGTGTAGGGAAAATGTAAATTCCCTAGGAAAACCACATAGAAACCTCATTTCCCCCTTACTTTTTGTGTCACCCCCGTGTATTTTGAAACCAGAGACGGAAGAAATGTAAGGGGTGAATGAGGTTTTGTCCCTTCCGCTTGTATGGAGAAACCTCTTGAAAATATGTTATTTTCCAGAGGAATGTTCCCGCTGGGAGCGGTCTGCACACACACATCGATGAGCTGCCCAGTGCAAATTACTCACACAAATATAAAACAAAATGTCAACGTATGTGTGTGCCGACCGCTGGTATAAAGTATTAACCTAGTTTTTTTAACCCTATTATTTAATTATTTATTTATTACTTTTAAATCCTACACTTGAGTTTTAAACGGTTTCTGTGACTTCTAGATTTTTGAATTTCGCTAAGAATACGGTTGGAAGAGATTTCTGCGATTCCTCCTTTAATTCGGCGGTCACACTGTCGATATGTTCGAAATCGATGAACGATAGAAACCGATTAATAACGTACCTGAATTGTGCAATAGCTGTCGTTATCTGGTCTTTTTGGCCAGATTTATAAATAAAACAGCGAAAATGAGTGGCCGACGAGTGGGCAGCGTATTAGCCCTGAGTGCCACCGCCTTGGGTGCCTTTTACCTGGGCTCCCACGTGGAGCGGGAACGTCGGAACGGCGGATCCGCCAACAGCCTTCCCCGCCTGCCGGGATTACCCACCTTTGGAACTGTTTCGGCGGCCAGTTTGATTCCCGCCCAGGAGGCAAATGTCAGCCTGGCGGCGACTCCCTCGCGGATCGGGCAGATCATGAAGTACGGCTTCCCGGGACTGGATCATGTGCGCTCCCACTCGGACTACGTGCTGTCCTACGATCGGAGGAACCGCGTGCCGCACTGGGTGTTCGAGCACCTGACGGCGGAGTCGGTGGCCAAGAACGAGGCAGTGGATCGGGCCAAGTGTGATTTCCGGCAGGACGAGAGCATCCACCCGTTCTTCAGGTCCCAGAACACGGACTACCGGCGATCCGGCTACGATCGCGGGCACATGGCCGCAGCGGGCAACCATCGACTGCACCAGAAGCACTGCGACGAGACCTTCTACCTGTCCAACATGGCGCCACAGGTGGGCCAGGGCTTCAACCGGGATGCGTGGAACACCCTGGAGTCGCACGTGCGCAAGCTGACCAAGAGCTACTCGAATGTGTACGTCTGCACGGGTCCACTTTACCTGCCCCACAAGGAGGAGGACGGCAAGACCTACGTCAAGTACGAGGTCATCGGGGCGAACACGGTGGCAGTTCCCACGCACTTTTACAAGGTGATTGTAGGCGAATCCGCGGACCACAAACTGCACATGGAGTCCTATGTGATGCCCAACCAGGTGATCAGCAACGACACCCCCATCAGCGTGTTCCAGGTGCCGCCGGAGAGCGTCGAACGCTCGGCGGGATTGCTCTTCTTCGACCAGATCAACCGCAAGCAACTGACCACTATCAATGGCAAGAAAGTCTAATCTTTAGTTTGGTTTTAGTGTATTTTGGGATAGCCCCTTGTTTTAATGTAATTTTCTTCTTTTCCAAAGAACTTGTGGATTAATAAAGTAAACAATTAATACAGATGTACATAGAGATGAGGCGTGTTGTTCGTGAGGAGATAGCAAAGCGAGGGGGATGTGAATCTGAAACTGGATCTGATGTGTGGTCTCTACATGCCGCCTTCGTTCTTGGAGCGCACGTCATCGATCTTGAGTATCATCTTGACGAGCTGTGTGGAGAGGAGGATCTGCTGCTTCTTCGAGTGCAGAGACTCCACCACGTTGTGGCTCTTCATGTCCGAATCGCCCGACAGCATGCAGTCGACGCCCAGGCTGGGCTTCTTTTCGGCCACCTGGCTGGCCTTCAGCTCCGACAGCGTCTCGACGGGATGCAGGCCGCTGTTCTCGGCCAGGGCCAGCGGAATGCTCTCCAGGGCCACGGAGAAGGCGCGGAAGGCGTACTGCTCCAGTGTGGACAGCTGGTCGGCCTCCTTGGCCACCGCCAGCGAGCAGCTAATCTCGGCCGCACCGCCGCCGTAGACGATGCGCGAGTCCTTGACCAGCGAACGCACCACGCAGATGGCGTCGTGGATGGAGCGCTTGGCCTCGGCGATGATCATGGCGTTGCCGCCGCGCAAGAAAATAGTCACTGCTTTGGAGTTTTTGCACTCCTCGATGACCAGCATCTTGTCCTTGGATGTGCCGAAGGCTGAGGGGAGAAAAAATCAATAAAAAATAGGCAAAGCTTGAGGACTGTATGTAAGCTTACCCATTTCGCGGACGAGACCGGCCACGCCGAGTTTCTCGGGCGTGAGCTCCTCGAAGCGAGGCACGATGCGTCCGCCGGTGGCGATGGCGATCAACTCGATCTCCGGACCGCCCACCCAGCGCACGGCAGGCAGCTCCTGCTGCAGCAGCAGGTGGTTGGCCTCGTCGTCGAAGCCCCACTGGCAGATGGCCAGAGTGGCGCCGGCGTCCTTCACCTGCTTGACCATCTGAGTGAACTTCTCCTGCTCGTACTCGCGCAGCGCCCTGTAGTCCTCCGCCGAGGTCACATCGAGCTTATGCTTGGTCTTGGGCTTCGGCGGCTCGAACGGGCAGGTGAGAATGGCCAGCTTGACGTTCCTCAGCTCCTTGGGCATCTGCGAGTGGCTGAGGGTCTTGTCCACGATGACGCCCTTCACCAGCATCGAGTCCTCCATGCGACCGCCGACCTTGGTCTCGATCTTGATGAGCTCGAAGTTCACGTCCTTCTTCTCGATGTCGGCCACATTCAGCACGGCATCCACGGCCATCTCGGCCATCTGACGGTGGCACTTGTTCACGATCTTGCTGCCCAGCGTGGTCATGGCGATCTGGACCAGTGGCTCCTTGTTCTTGGGGTCCACGGGGAAGGGCTGGGCAATAGCGTCCAGCTGCTTGATGGCGCACTGGGCGGCCAGCTCAAAGCCATCGGCGATGCGAATGGGATGGATGCCCCGGTCGATCAGACCCTCGGCCTGCTCCAGCAGAGCTCCGGCCAGGACCACCACGCCGGTGGTTCCGTCGCCGATCTCGTCGTCCTGCGACTGCGACAGCTGCACCATCAGCTTGGCGATCTCGTGGTCCACCTCCATCAGCTTCATGATGGTGGCGCCGTCGTTGGTCACAGTCACGTCTCCGTCGGGGCTGACCATGATCTTGTCCAGGCCCTTGGGACCCAGAGAGGTCTTCAGGGTGGAGGCGATCTGGCGCGCGGCCATAATGTGCGTCTGCGGGGAGAAAAATTTTAATAGTTTTTAGTGTAAATAGAATAAAAAGGAAAAATAAATATAATCTGGCTAAATTCAAATAATAAATAGAAATGTATCTAATTCGACACCTTGAAAAAGGCCAAATTAAGCTCAAAATATAAATCCACAATTATAAAATAAAAATGTATCTAATTCGACACCTCAGACGAGCTTAATCTTAGTTAGCTTATAGTTTTAACTTTAAGTTTGTTTTGTATAAATAAATAAAATAAATAAATATAAGCTGGAATTTAGAGATAGTCAACAATTTAAATTTAAGATAAAAACATGTTTTAGGAAAGTAATGACAGCGGTTTAGATATTTGGAAAAATATTTAAAAAAGTAAATACACTTTTAACATAGTTAGGATCATACAGAGTATGATATTCCCGTTTTTAGACCATTTCAGTTGCTTCCATCAATATCCCAAACTTTTCGCAGTGCGCGTGACTCAGCCGGCAATGAAAGAAAAACATCTGGGCGGCGTTTTAACCTCAAAATAGCCCAGACATTTTGGTTTTACCAAATTAATTGTTTATGAATGTTACTGAAGGATAAATAAATGTTTAGAGGCCCTGCTCATGCATTAGACTGGATATATTAAGCAAATCCATTGAGATTAACAACTGTCTGCTGTTTTTAAACCGGCTTCATAGAACATCTGGAATGTTCCAAAGACGATGCGTCATTCTGGGGAGCCCTTTAAGTGAAAGGCTTTGTGGCATTAGTTTTCCCCAGAAATCTCTGCCATCTTAACTCCTCCAGGATGCGGAATCCACCGCTGGGGACCGGGAAATCCCCGTTTCTCTCACCTTTATGGCATCTGTTCCCGTGATGCGCTTCTGGCGCTCCTGGTCGCGCAGAATGATGAAAGGCCGACCATATTCGTCGAACGCGAACGTTCCGGGAAAGGCGCTCATGGTTGTTTAGTTAAAAGGGTGACGGATTCGCACGTTATTCCAAGATTTATTTCCCGAATTATTTTCCTAGCTCCACCGAACAAACGACTGTACCTAAAATACTCCAAACGCGTTTCGCCCAGAGATGGAAGAGTAGCCGATGAAATATCGATAGCAACGAAGGTGCCACCTTGGTACAAAATTTCCAGGACGGTGAAGAGGGTATTCTGTTTGGTGAAAAATTTCAAATTTATTTCGAATAAATGAATTTATTAAGCCCTTAAGTGAACCTGCCTGAATTTTACGAATTTGTTAGAATGTAAAAGTTGCTTCCAATAGATAACAAAGAGTCGAACAATTAAAAAGAAGAATGTTAGCTGCATGGTGTATAAAATTCAGACAGATCAAACCACTTAATTATGGTCGTTCCTCAAACGAAGGAGAATTCCGTATAAATTATTTTGGAAGTCATTCTATTAAACTTAAAATTCAAATTCAATCGTTCACATAAAACAAAAAATCAACATAATTCATGGAATTAATTCATGCGTGGGTCTAATTCAGAACTAACTTAGTAGACCTCCAAACCAATAGTTTTAAAATTTTAAGGATATTTTTTTTGCTCGGAATGATCAACATCTTTAACCTGGAATAAAATATTTTTAATTATTAAGTGAAATTGGGAGAATGAACTCTAAATAATATTTTTGTTAAATAAATCAATATGTAATTGACGTAAATCCCATATAAAACATGTTGAAATTTAAATTAGATTACGCTAACAAAACGTTGTTAAGATAAAAAACAGCCGCCAATGTAATAATCGATTTTTTCCCATCCCTAAAAATTGCTTTTGCAGTTAGTGTGGCCAAACAGGGCCAGCCACAAATCCCCTGATAAAACCCACAGCCAAAGCTATAAAAGCGAAAGTCACGCTAGTATATTTCACAGTTTATACTAAACTTTCGACGCAATCAGATCATAAATAGCTGGGAGGTTTGCACCCCAAACAAAGCCTGTTTCACCACAAAAGTCCAATTTCGTTCGTTTCAATTTCTTCTCAGTGCGTTAAGTTGCAACCATTAAAAGTGAAAATGCCATCCAATATGAATAATAAACTGTAAGTAATGGTATCCAAGTTGGACGCCATACACGAAGAGAAAAAAGTGCAAAGTCGATTTTGTAGTGCAAAGAAAGAAAGAGAAAATGAAAATAGTGCGGGGAGTCCACGACCCCTTTCCAATTGGTGGCAAGTAGGCTTGGTTGTAATGGTTTGTAGTGCAATAGTTTAAGTGTAACCTGCTAATAAATCGAGTAACGGTGTTGGTTTATTTCCTCACGTACGCACACACACACGCACGCACACCCAACCCGGTGCAGCTGTGTGGGTCAGTGTGTTTTTTTTTTTATTGAAAAATCATCTGTGACGCACACAGAAGAAGAAACAAAAAGAGAACGGCGGAAATAAATAAAGAAATTTGTGGCCGCCGTGTATGTATGTGTGCTGGCACGTTTCGTAAGTAAAGTAACTAATTGATTTCAGCTGAAACTGTGAAATTAAATTTTTTACTTTATTATGCCTTATTTATTTACTGTTTTGCCTTCCGTTCAAGATGGCCGCCCCGCAGTGTTGCCACTGTGTCGGCGGTACTTTTATTCTTTTGTTGATTGTAAACACAAATAAATAACAATACAGCATCCGCTTTCTATAAACGCATTAATAATCAATTTGTTTGCAGGCCTTGTTTATTAATTAATTAGCGAAAACGACACATCATGTTTGCGCATCTGGCAACGCCGCGCCCGTCTTTTTATTTACAGTTGACCCCCCTTTCCAATTGGAGAACCCAAAATATATGTTTGTGTGCGTGTGTTTCTTTATTATTTGTTTACCTGTTTCGTTTCTTATTGGAATTGGCATTTGGCAAATTACCTTTATGCAATCCAATTGGAGGGGAAGTGCAGTGCACTAACCGAAAACGGGTCTTTTTACCGTTGCTTTTTGACTTAAACGAATTTCTACCATTTTGTTAAAGTTTGGAATTATCCAGAAATATGCCGACACAAGCTCTTAATTTTCATCCTTTCTTGCATCTTGGGCATTTATTATGTCATATAAACAACCAGCACAAACACACTCGTACGCGTAATTGTTGTAAACAAGGGAAAATTCCACTCGCCATTGCAGTTTGCTTTGTTTTTGTGTGGCAAGTGAGATAATATGGTGGGAGAGAGAGAGATGGATATATAGACAGCGATATTGGGTCATCGGCACTTTTCTAGCAGCTTCTTTCGTCTTCTCATGCCCCCTCCTTCCACCTCATGTCCTCTCATTCGCGTTTATCTTATCTCTCGGAACCACATGAGATCTCGTAGCTCTTATCGCAGCTATTGTTCTGGTTTTACCATATAATAATAATTTCCAGTGCCCGTGTTTGCTTTATGACATCCCGCTTTGCTTTTGTCTGAAATCTTCAAAGCTGTTTGCTCAGTACACTTTTTTTTTACGACTGTTTTCCCTGTCGAAAGATTGTACCCTGATCCCCCAATATTTGTCCAAGCAGAACGTTAAGTTTTGATGTTGATTACACAAGCGCACCAATTACGTGGTCTTATCACCTATTTTTTTTTGTATCTAGAATCTAGATCTAATCTGGGTGGAGAGTACTATCTACTATTTATATGACTTGATGTTCTTTGTTCTGTTTTATTTAGTTTAAGCTGTATTACAGGGACAAAAGGCGTTCCATTTAAATGCTGATTATGTAAAGAGTCTCACTTAGGACTCTTCTGCATTACTCAGTATCGCCTTGCCGTTGACACGTGATCAGCGCTGAAAAATTAGTCAACAAAATAAAGAAACAATATGCGGTCTCATACACGTTTTCGTGTCGTATAAAACGGTATTCATACTGCTGAGGGTAAATAAATAGTTCGTTAAAATTTAATATAAAAATTTTGTAAAGTCCGTATTTCTCTAGAAAAAAAAAGGAAATTCTTACTCTTTTGTTAAAACCTAAATGAATTCAACTTTTTTAAGATTCTTAGCAGTAAACCTTATAAAAACGAGCGGCTTTTAAAAAAAAACATTAAAAAAATTGGACCCCATAAGTAAAGCTAATATCTTAGTTTATTGGTTCAATAAAGATAAATGTATTTGTTTAGACTGTAACATTTGGATAGATGCTCAAAACAACTAAATACGAAATAGACCTTATCGACAGTCATAAAACCCAGTTTATTTCCAAACAAGTGGTGTGCCTCTCGGGTAAATTCGTTGTAGTTATTGATATGACCTCTGCTGTTGGAATACAAGCTTTCATACATTTATTCATAATGCAGACAGCGCGTCACGTTGACTTTGTACCCCTTCCTGCCTCTTGAAACCCCTTCTTATATCATGCCTATCTTTAGAGATTTGTTTTGTGGTCGTTATCGCTGTTATTGATTTGCCGTTTCTTCACTTTCGGTAAATTTGTCTGCAAAAAATGGCAAACACGTGCAGGCAAAAAATAATTTTCGACTTGGACTAAAATGGCGCACTGAAGACTTTTCTCTCAGACTTTGTATATTAATTTTTCCGATATTTATAGACGGAGCTCTCTCCGTTTGTTTTGCTTTTGCCCACTGCGACTTTGTAAATAAAAACGCTGGGCTTGCCGGCATTTTTACTTATACCCAGTTATTTGCGCCTTATTTGTTTGGCGATTCACCCACCATCGGAATTTTGTGGGACGAAAGGGGCTCCAATTAACCTTGGGCTGTGACTCAGCCCCCCGCCCAATTCAGATCCATATCTGACCGACTGTACCCGCGTGTATATCTCTCGGGCAGAACTAGGGTATATATCGTGGGGCCTCCTAGTCGCTGCTACTTAATCACATAAATGATGCCGCCACCGTTTGGATGTCGTCAGTCGCCAGACAATCGTCCAAAGCACAGCACCTCACAGATCAGTGAGAAATCAGAAGAAAACCGGGCCAGATTACAGAGAGAGATCCCATACCCACATCTTTTCGATGTGAATTCCAAGCGCCGTCGAAGGACCGAAAGCAACGCAACCTGTGATAGATAACGAGCACAAACCGAGAGACAGATAGTAAACTGCAGCTGTGATAAATCTTAACCGGAGACTAATATTTAACTTGGCAATGACGACATCAAGCGATGTGGTGGCGCAGCCAGAGAGCCAGAACCTCTTGGGGTACGTCAGCAGTCCCCATCCTTTTTTTTAATAATTGAAAAGCACTTTCAATTGCCCTGCACGTGCCATCGATTCGGTGAATTATTACTAGCTGTACCCATAGATTGCATCCATTAAGCATTAAACTATATATGCCTGCATCTGGTCATCTGGTCGCTGTTCCCATTCAGGCCTCTAGTTCGCTCAATTCACACAGCTCTGCCAAGTGCGCAGTTTGTTGATTTAATTGGCTCGGCAGAAAGGAAAACAGCAGAGAATGCCTGGCATATTTCGCACGAACTCGGCCGGCAAACAATATATTCGAGCGTATATAGTATAGGTATCCGTATTTTTGTGCCGTCCTCATTGTATGTCTGATTAACACCTAGAACGAATTCAAATCGAAACACAAACCCAAATGCGAATAAGTGAATAAAGAGAGCTGTCCGTCGACAGTCCAGAAAGCATTTAATATCACTGTCATGGAATTGCTCTCTTTGTATAATATTCGACGTTGCGCTATGCTACTAACCAACCACTAAAACCCCCTTTGTCTGGCCTAACCTGTCCGTTGTCCTGTCTGTTGAGGTGATCCTGCTCCTGCTCCTGATCCACCGCGAATAGTGAAATGAAGAGAGCTATCCGTCGACAGTCAAGTTAAAACTGATTGTAATACTGTCATGGAATTGCTCTCTTTGTATAACATTCGAAAGGCGACGATGATATATTGATATCGGTGTGCTTAACTAGTTTAAAGCAAAGCCTGTAAGCGTCCTCTGGTTTTGGTGCCTAATCCTTCCCACCTTTCAGTTGGCTACTTCGAAAACAAACAGGATGCGTTTTCAAATTCAAGTTTCTCTTGTATTCTTGGCTCTTTCGCCCGGTAAATACTTTACAAAAAATCTGGAGAAGTTCAACCCGCCCGCTAATAATATAGTGCCCGCAACTTAGAGATTAGAAATGCGTTGTTCAGGAGGCAGTTCCTACAGGCCGCCGCGTCCCCGTCCGCCGGTGGGTCCTCCCTGCCAGGCTCCGCGTCCGCCGCTGCCGCCCGGAGCTCCTGGCGGTCCGCCACTGCCTCTTCCGCCGCCCGGCGGCCCTCCTCTTCCTCTGCCACGAGCTGTAAGGGGATTTAGTAATTAGTATTTGTAGCTGGTTAATTGCGTACAACACAAGACTGTCTTTTAGATAGATTACCTATCCTGCAAATAAATTCTTTTATTTTTATAAAAATAACCTCTTCAAAAACCTTACTTTTTTAAAACAATTTTATAAATAATTAGGATTTTATTATGTCAAATTATAATTTACTTTGTGAAATAATTTATTTTTCGAACAAAATTCATGCCTTTATCCAAATAAATAAACTTAATTTAATGGACGCTTTTTTAACATTAACCGGTCTTTGTATACACTCTTTTAATTTGATTTGTTAGATATTTTAAAACTTTGAATGTTAGAGAATCCTCTCCTAATTTGTCCATTTGTAAATTATTATTACCTTCTGTCTTTGGATATCTAAAATCTATTATTTTTTTTGAAAATGTATTCGGGAAATTTATGTCTTCAGGATAATTTTTTCATAGCAACTCACTAGATATTTTTAAATTAAAATTACTTTAGGTATTCGTTCGCTAGCTATCATAAAAAGCCTTATAAAAGGTATGATATAAACTCACAATATTCCCCTAAAAAGACAGTCTTGTGAAAAGTACGTGGGCCAAGTGCCCGACTCACCCTGTGCGCGCAGAATGGCCGCCTTGCCCCGACCCGCCGTTCCGCCCAGTCCCTTGCCCGTCTGCTTCTTGAACATCGGGGCGTTCTTTAGCATGTCGGGCAGTATGAGGAATCGGATCTTGGAGCCGCGGATGTAGACGTTCTCCAGGTTGGCGGTGCGCCCGTCGCGGTAGGTGACCGTGATCTGTGTCATCTGGCAGTTCATGTTGTCCTCCGCCTCGATTAGCTTGCCGCGGTACACCTCGCCGGTGATGGTCTCGCAAGTGATTATGTGGCCCTCGGCCTCGTGCAGGACTTTGATGGGTACTCCGATCGACATGCTGGCTCTGTTGTATCTGGCTTTTCAGTGAGTTGCTATTGATTTTCCGCGGTTTTTTCCGACGCCGCTGAATTCTTTTCTCCGTTTTTCTTTGCGCAAACCGTTTATGCCGAGTGTCTGTCTGTGTGTGTGTGTGCGCTCGCTTTGACAGCTGCCGGCGGCCATCTTGTGGTGAAATTGCCGCGTGAGCCCAGGGCTGCATGCGCTGCGTGACTATCGGCTCTCGTTTATCGGTCTTCCGATAAGGCGCGCGCTATCTTATCGCTTCAAAATAAACACCAGCCATTAGGTACGTCATAAAAGCTAAATAATTTAATTGTCCGCGCTCTGCGGCTGATAAGCCCTTTGTTCTGCTTTCGTGGCCAGCAGTTTGTTAGCAGCTATTGCGACGTTCACCCACCAGTTGAGTTTTACTCTACCATCATGCTTTGGTAAATTTTTTAAAACCATTTTATTCTACTACTTGATCCTAAAATAAATTACAATTAAGAAATTCATTTATTCTGATAGAATGTGACTATTTGTTTTTGGGTATCTAATAAACATTAAAAATGATTAGAAATTTTTAATAGCATTTTTTGAAGTACCCCAGGAAAGGCGCTACAAAATTGAGCAGGCACAACCAGATCGATGTAGATTTCTGATTTAACCCACAATTCTTCTCCCCCACAGCGACCCAGTGTTTAGTAGTGGCTTCGTTAGAAGAGAATTTAATGACAGCGGAATTGCCGATGGCAAACTCCGCACCATCTCGACTTCGTCTTGCGCCACGACCATGTCATCGGAGTCCTACCGCATCTCTCTCGGCGTAGGGCCTCTGTGGTGGTCCTGATGTCCCTGTCCACCACAGAACAGATCACGATAGGGCATCGCTCTTAACGGGTGAGTAGTTAACTAATAATTAATTAATAATAATAATTATAACATTATATCATTGCCATTTCTATCCAGGCTACAGCCGCAAGTCTTCGGTCGACTCGGCTGGTGGCAGCCTGTACGAGGACAGCTCCCGGGCGTCGTCGTTGTCGTCCTCCGAGTCGGACTGCTCCGACTTGGAGTCGCAACCCGACATCCATTCGCTGTGCTCGGACGATGACTGCCAGGAAGTGCTGCGCCAGATCTTGCAGCACGACCAGCCGGTGCAGATCACCATCAAGCTGCACGTGACCGAGGACCAGTACACCAATTGGAATACGATTCTGAACCCAGTCAACAACTTGTTGTACGTCGCCCTGCCGAAGGACCTTCCGCCGGCCGGCTCCAAGCAGACCTTCATCTCGCTCCTGGAGTTCGCCGAGGATAAGCTGGAGGTGGACGGCATCGTGATGGTCATGCCCAAGGATCAGCCGGACCGGGCCCGCCTCATCGAGGCGTTCCTGTTCATGGGCTTCGAGCCCCTGTCCAGGAAGGCACCGCAGGCACCGCCGGCCGCCATCAACGACAACGAGAACCACTATTTCTTGTATAGCATCGAGGAGTAGTTCGACGGCAAGGGGACGATTTTCGCCACAGAAACGATCGAGGAGAAGTTTAATCAGCAACAATCCAATATCCTGTCCGTAGTTTCCGCAAATAACTTTTATTAGCTCACCCTAGATCCCCAGACCCAATGACATGTTGAGCCCAATGTGTTCAGTGAAAAGCAAATCAATCCTTTTTAAATCTTCGCGTTTACGTAGTCGAAAATCGTTTGGAAATTGTCTTTGAAGCGGCTTCATTTATTGGTAGACTTTCAACTATGGCCAGCCACGTTAAGAGCCTGATCGCAAATTACTATATTAAACTATATCGAAAAAAAACGAAAGAAAATGTAAAAAAAATGTTAAAACTAGAAAATGTCAACAAAAAAATGTATTAATCCTAAGTTTATTCGTGAATCAATATTTTGTATTTATGTTTTCGCTTTTGTTGTAATCACAATATTTCTTTTCATGTTTTTCTATACTCTATACTTTATACTTAAGCTTATATATGATGTATCGTAATCCCAATTGTTTCACACTAGAAAATATTATATATATTTTATTCACTTTTTGTATGCCTAATGCGATATAACGGAAAAGTAGAAAAGTTTGAGGATAGAAAGGGAAACACATATTCATAAAAGCTACTTCACATACGCCAGCAAAAAATCCATATACACACGATATCCAATATTAATAAACTTATTAATCAATAGATTCCACACCACGCAAGCAAACGAAAGCAATTCTTTTATTTATTCCACTTTGTATAATTTTCTTGATTCCAATAATAAAACATATGACTTAACAAAATTATTCAAGTGTCGGCCTGATTATTAAAATTATTTCCTTTGTGACTTAAAGCGGCAATGCGCATTATTATTGTTTTGGAATATCTCGAGTGGAACACGGCTGAGACTCATGATTAAATTTATAGCCAAGATCAACCTGCCCTTCCTTTTACCAGATAAGGCAAATTTCCGATTCTTCGTCGTTCGAGTGTTTTGTGTTCTACTGTTTATAAGCTGACCCGATCTGATTGCCATATATAAAGATAACAATTAATGATTCTCTTTTGGTCTCTTGGAACCTTTCGAAGATAGTGGCGTTATCAGAAATGAAGAGAGACTATAAAATGATAAAAACGGGAGTAATTCGTCATCATCGCCAATATTAATTTGATAACCTCAACCACTAACCTTGGCGTCTAGTTAATAGATTCGGGAAGAGCTAAGAGATTCTTGGAATTCGCTTAGAGCAAATTAATTGAAATAAAGGATAATATTTTATTATATATTATTAGGTGTATTTATTGAAGTTTAATTGAAATTAGGGTTACCTTTAGGGGCGGTTTACCTTTAGCTTATCTCTCCCATAAAATGATACTACAGTGACTAAATTCTAGATCATTTTTCAGGGAACTGTTAAGTTTGAAATCTTTCCCAGCTAATCTAGGCTTGAAAATCATCCAACAGCTGTTCATGCTCACCGTCTATTCGTCTCTTCGTTTAACGAGCGATAAAACTCAAAAATATATACCCATCTATGTGATGATATAGGGGCTGGGGCATATAGGCAGAGATAACGATATAAACAGCAGCGGAAGAGGCTCCGAAAAACAGTCGAGAGTGGAGCGTCGCTGAGTTTACACGAACCAAAAGCTTTGTAAGCGCACCGAAGTCAATATCCCGGAGTTATCATGTTGAAGGCGGTGAGTGTAGTTCCAAGGGGCGGACCTTATCTAATCGCCGGTTCCGATATGCCAGTCGCTTCAATTTAATTTACTTTCAATCCCTTCCAATTATGTTTAACCCGATTGGCTTTGATTGCCCCGGATGGCCAATGCAGATTATTGTTTTTACCACCATTTTCGTGGCCGTGGCTCTGGCCATGCAGCCACTGGAGGATAATGAGAGGAACCATCATCTGAACCACAAGCGCCAGTTGTCCCAGCACCACCAAAAGTTGCAGGAGGTGAGGCACTCGGCCAAGGAGCACATCAAACACGGAAAGGAGGTGCACCATTTAGTTTCCCACGTTAGGGAGCACAGAAAGGAGCATGGAAAGTCTGCCTCCCAGAGGAAGGGAAGGCAGGCCAACAAGGAGCAGGGCCACAAGAAGAGCCACCACCAGAAGGAGCAGCACAAGCACCAGGACCACTCCCGGAAAGCCCGATCCCACTCGAACGGCAGCAAGCACCACCACAAGAGGCACACGGGATCGCGTCGCCACTAGGAAAGATATGCATCCTATTTAAATCCTAACTTATGTCTATGTAAGCTGTATTAAAGTCCAGACTACATAAATTCCAAATACAGTGTGCATTTGTATTATCCAATTGAACTCCCAGAAATTTGTTTGACAATAAAAACATATATTGTAAAATATAAGCCATGACCAAATAAACTGAAAGTTGAAAATCAAATTTAATCAATATAAAAGTGTGTGAATTTTTATTATATTTGATACTAGAGTTAGGAAGAATATTTGTGAACAGAAAACATTTTTTTCTTGAACCTACTTCAGAAGAAATAGAAAATAATGCAAAGTCATAATAGATTTTAATCAAAGACCAGTTTATTTAAAAGTTAAGAAAAAATATTCGAATAGCCTATAAACACTGTACAGCTCTTTTCGTGACCCCCTTTATGGCCCGAAAATTGAGCTTGTGTGGATCGTTAAAGGTAGGCCCAAGAGTCCAGGTTCGGGTCGGCGGTTCAGATGTGTAATTACGCTTGGCCAACTCGCTATTTGGCTCGACTATGTTACGTTAGCCGCCTCAATTTCTTCGGAAGCGCCGACCAAGTTCCAAAATCCGGTTTTAGACAATTGAAATTTGAAAATAATAAACCGCACATGCGAACGTACTCGTACATAAAGTGTTTTGTTTTTTTATTGCAATAAAGCCGGTGTTAATTGTGGTCTGGGGTCAAAAACTCCAATGACGTCATCGTAATGGTTGCAAGACAGTGAAAGGGTTCATTTTTAAGGGGGGCTTGTATAATTTCTTTGGTTACTAGTGCGATTACATAGGATTTCGTGTATAGGAACGTATGTTTGGAAAGGTAATGGTGTTTTATTTAACCCCACACAGGGTAAATGCGAGGGCGGTAGAAACCGCCTCCATAACTGCGATATCCACCGTAGCCACCATATCCGGAGTAACCGCCGTATTTATAGCCTCCACCATAACCGCCGTAATAAACAGGAGATGGAGCGGCATAATATCCGTAACCAATGGAATCGGCAGTGGAGAGATCACCCTCCTCAGCATCTTTTTTCTCCTAAAAAAGGGGATTTTTTAAAAACGTTTTCGAAAATAAAACAATAAAAGTTTGACCTACCTCTACAGGTGCTGCAGTTATAGCTCCAATAATAAACAGGCACAAATAGATGGAAAATAACTGAAAAATTTGCACAACATTTATTTATTCTACTAAATCAACGCAAATTCGCATTGAACCCAGTACCTTTGCCATTGTGTTGATCTTATTTGCGAAATTTCACGGGGAAATACTTGGGTTTTATATTTTTCTCTCAAATTAGCAACTTTTCCCGGTCGTGTTCTGGATAGAAGCGTTGTTGTCCGTAAACTGTGATCCCCAACGGCCGACCGACAATATTTATAGTGGCCAAAACATCCCGGGGATCGATTTCGCACATGATCATTGATTAGACAAACATTCTGGAGTCTGGGGAAGTCGTTACCCGATGGGAAATGAGGTGTCCCCATATCAGGGTCAGGCTGTTGACTCGATTTGATTTTCTAATTAGGTTAATTGAAGGTACAAAACATGTTTTGAATCTTTTATATATAAACGACCATAGGTACGGTAATTATCAGTTAACAGCCATAAAAATTAGCTTTTGTTTTTAAAACTGAGATTTTTTTGCTGGCTAATGTCTACTGTATGGGAGAAATGACCAGTCATCAATTATAATATTGACGCACTAGCTTAAAAAGCTCCTAATAAATTCGATTCACACATTTGCTGACAAGTTGATTCACTTGATTTAAATAGCCGGATTACAACCGATATTAATATGTATTTTTAGTGGGGATTCCCTCTTGAAAGCCTCTTTAGATTTATTGTTTAAAAATATGCAGATGAATATTGATACTTTTTTCTTTAAAAATCGATACGTACAATGTAAGGTAGTCTACCTTTTAATATTAATTTTTTTTAAATTTCAAAACCAATAGTTTTGAACAAACGATTAATCGCACTTCCTGCGTTGCTATCTTGATTTGTCATGCGGCATTTTTTTGTACCATCGCTAGATATCGTCCAGTATGACCGTACTCCCATGAAAAAATAAATGGCTGCCGCATGAAAAATAAACGTTTTCGCTTTGCACACCGGAAAAATTGTGAATTGCGGCTGAAGAAACATATAAAAAGTGTGAAATAGGTAATAAAGTTGGTGATAAACCAACAAGTAACAAAATACATCAAAGATTTGCGGTGGGGAGAGTGAAATAACGACTTTTTTGCGGCGTGGTGAAAATTGCAAAAGACCGCGACGTCGGCGGCGGCATTCGATTTCGATTTCTCCCTTGTTCGGCGAACAAAACGTGTCTGTGTGTCGCAAAGTGTTTACATTCTAAATTTCTCTCTTTATTGATTAGGAAAAGGACAAGTGCGGAACGATGTCCATTCCGCCGTACATGATACCGCAGAACGCGTGGGCGGCGCAGCTGATGGCCCAGCAGGCCTATGCGGCTGCCCACGCTCAGCAGGCCCAGCTGCACGCCCAGCAGCAGATGGCCAACCAGATCCAGCAGATTCCGCCTCCCGGGGCTCCTCTGCCGCCGCCCAGTGGCCATGCCAACGGTATTCCCATTCCGGCCGGCGGCCAGGGTCCCGGTCTCGGCCAGATTCCCACGCCCAAACCGGACATCCTCACCGAGGAGAAGCTACAGGAGAAGGCCCTGAAGTGGCAGCATCTGCAGTCCAAGCGATTTGCCGAGAAGCGCAAGTTCGGCTTCGTGGACACGCAGAAGGAGGACATGCCGCCGGAGCACATCAGGAAAATCATTCGCGATCACGGGGACATGACCTCGCGCAAATATCGCCACGACAAGCGAGTCTATCTCGGGGCACTCAAGTATATGCCGCATGCGGTGCTCAAGCTGCTGGAGAACATGCCCATGCCCTGGGAGCAGATCCGCGATGTCCAGGTGCTGTACCACATCACGGGAGCGATCACCTTTGTCAATGAGATTCCCTGGGTCATTGAGCCAGTTTACATTGCCCAATGGGGGTGAGTTCAGCCTAGTTATTCCTTGTAATCTGAAATAATATGGTTTCCCTTTTCCCTAGAACCATGTGGATCATGATGAGGCGTGAGAAGCGCGATCGTCGCCACTTTAAGCGCATGAGATTCCCGCCCTTCGACGATGAGGAGCCGCCTCTCGACTATGCGGACAACGTCCTTGATGTGGAGCCCTTGGAGGCCATTCAAATCGAGCTGGATAATGATGAGGACAATGCCGTGTACAAATGGTTCTACGATCATCGTCCTTTAGTGGATACGCAGTGAGTTTTGAGCAGGGAATTACCTTTTAACTACATTGCTAACATCTCTTACTATTTCAGGTTTGTAAACGGCACCACCTACCGCAAGTGGAACCTCTCCCTGCCCCAGCTGGCCACGCTCTATCGGCTGGCCAATCAACTGCTCACCGACCTGGTGGACAACAACTTCTTTTATCTATTTGACCCCAAAAGCTTCTTCACTGCCAAGGCCTTGAATATGGCCATTCCGGGTGGTCCCAAATTTGAGCCCCTCATCAAAGATCACAATGTTGGGTGAGAACAAGGCCCGATTTAAAAGCCGCATCGTGGAATAACGTTATTTTCAATCTTATAGCGACGAGGATTGGAACGAGTTCAACGACATTAACAAAGTCATTATACGGCAGCCCATTCGCACGGAATATCGCATTGCCTTTCCCTACTTGTACAACAATATGCCGCACTTTGTACATCTAAGCTGGTAAGATTCCCTATTCTTCAGAAATTATTAATCTAAGATCTTGTTTACGTGGTAGTAACGTTTCCATGTGAACAGCCTCGCTGGAAACGCTTCATCACACGTTAGAGAAACGTCGAGCTCCCTACTACAAATGCGATAAACGGGAGCTGCAATCCTATGTTCGTGGCGATTGTTAAGAATAAATCGCGACTGCTGATAGTTGCATACACTTATAGTCACCTAAAATTACGAAGATCAAAATAACATGTGGTTTCTATGCATTTCAGGTATCACACTCCCAACGTAGTCTACATCAAGACCGAAGATCCCGACTTGCCGGCATTTTATTTCGATCCCCTCATCAATCCCATTTCCCATCGCAATGCGAACTCCAAAGTTCAGGAGCCACTGCCTGATGATGATGAGGACTTCACGCTTCCGGACGATGTGCAGCCGTTCCTGGTGGACACTCCCCTTTACACTGACAACACAGCGAACGGCATTGCCTTGTTGTGGGCACCGCGCCCCTTTAACATGCGCTCTGGCCGCTCCCGTCGTGCCATCGATGTGCCGCTAGTCAAGTGCTGGTACAAGGAGCACTGTCCCCCCGGCCATCCGGTCAAGGTGCGCGTTAGCTACCAGAAACTGCTTAAATACTATGTGCTCAATGCGCTAAAGCACCGCAAGCCAAAGCCACAGAAAAAGCGGTTAGTAATAAATTAAACTCAAGCAATGTAGTCGTTCTAAATGTATGTTTTATCTTGCAGCTACCTCTTCCGTTCGTTCAAGGCCACCAAGTTCTTCCAGACCACCACCCTGGATTGGGTGGAGGCTGGATTGCAGGTTTGCCGTCAGGGATACAACATGCTAAACCTCTTGATTCACCGAAAGAATCTTAACTACTTGCATTTGGACTACAATTTCAACTTGAAGCCCGTGAAGACTCTGACCACCAAAGAGCGTAAAAAGTCACGTTTCGGAAATGGTAAGTAATTTATTCTCCAAATTTTACTGGCAATGATTGACACGTATATTTTATATATTAGCCTTCCATTTGTGCCGTGAGATCCTGCGTCTGACCAAGCTAATTATTGACTCGCATGTTCAGTATCGGCTGAACAATGTGGACGCCTTTCAGTTGGCCGACGGACTGCAGTACATATTCGCCCACGTTGGCCAGCTGACTGGCATGTATCGCTACAAATACAAGCTGATGAGGCAGATTCGAATGTGTAAGGATCTGAAGCACTTGATCTACTACCGCTTCAACACGGGACCCGTGGGCAAGGGACCGGGATGTGGCTTCTGGGCGCCCGGCTGGCGAGTCTGGCTGTTCTTCATGCGCGGCATCACTCCGCTGCTGGAGCGCTGGCTGGGCAACCTGCTGTCGCGTCAGTTCGAGGGACGACACTCGAAGGGTGTGGCCAAGACTGTGACCAAGCAGCGCGTCGAATCGCACTTCGATCTGGAGCTGCGTGCCTCTGTGATGCATGACATTGTGGACATGATGCCCGAGGGCATCAAGCAGAACAAGGCGCGAACCATTTTGCAGCATCTGTCGGAGGCCTGGCGTTGCTGGAAGGCGAACATTCCGTGGAAGGTGCCCGGCCTGCCCATTCCCATTGAGAACATGATCCTGCGTTACGTGAAGATGAAGGCCGATTGGTGGACGAACACGGCTCACTACAATCGAGAACGTATCCGCCGTGGCGCCACCGTGGACAAGACCGTGTGCAAGAAGAATCTGGGGCGACTGACGCGTTTGTACTTGAAGGCGGAGCAGGAGAGGCAGCACAACTACCTAAAGGATGGTCCGTACATATCGCCGGAGGAGGCTGTCGCCATCTACACCACCACCGTCCATTGGCTGGAATCGCGTCGCTTTGCGCCCATTCCCTTTCCTCCGCTCTCGTACAAGCACGACACCAAGCTGCTGATTTTGGCTCTCGAGCGGCTGAAGGAGGCATACAGCGTGAAGTCGAGGTTGAATCAAAGTCAGCGCGAGGAGCTGGGTCTCATTGAACAGGCCTACGACAATCCCCATGAGGCCTTGTCCCGCATCAAGCGTCATTTGCTCACCCAGCGAGCTTTCAAGGAGGTTGGTTATTTGCAATTTCGTTTTTGTTGAGTTCCCAGTAAAGAGTTGTTATTGATTTTCAGGTGGGCATCGAGTTCATGGACTTGTACAGCCATCTGATACCAGTGTATGAGGTGGAACCCCTGGAGAAGATCACAGATGCCTATCTCGATCAGTATCTGTGGTACGAGGCAGACAAGCGACGACTGTTCCCGCCATGGATCAAGCCCAGCGACACGGAGCCCCCGCCATTGTTGGCCTACAAGTGGTGTCAAGGTAGAGATCTCAATAGCTCAATAGGAATTGAAGAAACCTAGCAGTTCTGGACATTTTGGGTGTGTGATTTGTAGCAAAGTGATATGTATTTGATCATCCCCTTGTTGCAAACCTCACGCCAAAGATGAATCCGAAATACAACGCCAAATGATATTTATAGTGACTATATATTGTGATCTATATTATCCCCTGTTTAATATAGATAAATCTTAATATTCCTAATAGGCATCAACAACCTGCAGGATGTTTGGGATGTGGGTGAGGGCGAGTGCAATGTGCTGCTAGAGTCTCGATTCGAAAAGCTCTACGAGAAGATTGACTTGACGCTACTCAATCGTCTGCTCCGCTTGATCGTCGATCACAACATCGCCGATTACATGACCGCCAAGAACAACGTGGTAATCAACTACAAGGACATGAACCACACCAACAGCTACGGCATCATTCGTGGCCTGCAGTTCTCATCGTTCATCACGCAATACTACGGCCTGGTGTTGGATCTCTTGGTTCTGGGTCTCCACCGTTCGAGTGAGATGGCTGGTCCGCCACAAATGCCCAACGATTTCCTCACGTTCCAGGACGCAGTCACAGAAACGGCCCATCCGATTCGCCTGTACTGTCGCTATGTCGATCGCATTCACCTGTTCTTTAGGTTCTCGGCGGAGGAGGCGCGAGATCTCATCCAGCGCTACCTCACCGAGCATCCGGATCCCAACAACGAAAATATTGTGGGCTACAATAACAAGAAGTGCTGGCCACGCGATGCTCGCATGCGTCTGATGAAGCACGATGTGAATCTGTAGGTTTTTCTTTAACTCACATTTAAGTTGTTAAGTTGTATAACGAATATTTTATTTTGTAGGGGTCGTGCTGTCTTCTGGGACATTAAAAACCGCCTGCCTCGCTCTGCGACCACAATTGGTTGGGAGAGCACCTTCGTCTCCGTTTACTCCAAGGACAATCCCAATCTTCTGTTCAACATGAGTGGATTTGAGTGCCGTATTTTGCCAAAGGTTCCTTAAGCCACTATACCAATATAAGATCAGTTTATAATTTAACGTTTTTTTCTTATAGTGTCGCACCCAGAATGAAGAGTTTACCCATCGTGATGGCGTTTGGAACTTGCAGAACGAAATTACAAAGGAGCGCACGGCGCAGTGCTTCCTGCGGGTGGATGATGAGTCGCTGGGACGCTTCCACAATCGTGTGCGACAGATTCTGATGGCTTCCGGCTCCACTACCTTCACGAAGGTAATTAAAACTTGTAAATATTCTTAGGATCTTTAGGTAATAATACAATCTTTCCTTTTCAGATTGTGAATAAATGGAATACGGCGCTTATAGGTCTGATGACCTACTTCCGTGAGGCTGTGGTAAATACCCAGGAGTTGCTGGACTTACTGGTCAAGTGCGAGAATAAAATCCAGACGCGTATCAAGATTGGCCTCAACTCCAAGATGCCCTCCCGTTTCCCGCCCGTTGTGTTCTACACTCCCAAGGAACTGGGCGGCCTGGGAATGTTGAGCATGGGTCACGTCTTGATTCCGCAATCCGATCTGCGTTGGTCGAAGCAAACGGATGTGGGCATAACCCATTTCCGATCTGGTGGGTTTACAGCAAGTTATATTTATAGTATGTGTTTGTAATGAATTCTTTCGATTACCTATAGGTATGTCCCACGATGAGGATCAGCTTATTCCCAATTTATATCGGTACATTCAGCCGTGGGAGAGCGAGTTCATCGACTCACAGCGGGTTTGGGCCGAATATGCGTTGAAGCGTCAAGAGGCGAATGCCCAGAACCGCAGGCTCACCCTGGAGGATCTGGAGGACAGCTGGGATCGAGGTATTCCGCGCATCAACACACTCTTCCAAAAGGATCGTCACACACTGGCCTACGACAAGGGCTGGCGCATTCGAACCGAGTTTAAGCAGTACCAGGTGCTGAAGCAGAATCCCTTCTGGTGGACCCACCAGCGTCACGACGGCAAGCTGTGGAACCTGAACAACTACCGCACGGACATGATCCAGGCCCTGGGCGGAGTGGAGGGCATTCTGGAGCACACCTTGTTCAAGGGCACCTACTTCCCCACTTGGGAGGGTCTCTTCTGGGAGAAGGCCTCCGGTTTCGAGGAGTCGATGAAGTACAAGAAGCTGACCAATGCCCAGCGATCCGGTCTCAACCAGATTCCGAACCGTCGGTTCACCCTGTGGTGGTCGCCGACCATCAACCGAGCGAATGTCTACGTCGGTTTCCAGGTGCAGCTCGATCTGACGGGTATTTTCATGCACGGCAAGATTCCCACGCTAAAGATCTCGCTGATCCAGATCTTCCGAGCCCATTTGTGGCAGAAGATCCACGAGTCGATTGTGATGGATCTGTGCCAGGTGTTCGATCAGGAACTGGACGCCCTGGAGATCGAGACGGTGCAAAAAGAGACGATTCATCCGCGCAAGTCCTACAAGATGAACTCCTCGTGCGCGGACATCCTGCTCTTCCCCGCCTACAAGTGGAACGTTTCGCGGCCCTCACTGCTGGCCGACACCAAGGACACCATGGACAACACCACCACGCAGAAGTACTGGCTGGATATCCAGTTGCGTTGGGGCGACTACGATTCTCACGATGTGGAACGCTATGCGCGAGCCAAGTTCCTGGACTACACCACGGATAACATGTCCATCTATCCGTCGCCCACGGGCGTGCTCATTGCCATCGATTTGGCCTACAATCTGCACTCGGCCTACGGCAACTGGTTCCCGGGCTGCAAGACGCTCATCCAGCAGGCCATGGCCAAGATCATGAAGGCGAATCCCGCGCTCTATGTGCTGCGCGAGCGCATCCGCAAGGCCCTGCAGCTGTACTCGTCAGAGCCAACGGAACCGTACCTCAGCTCGCAGAACTACGGCGAGCTGTTCTCCAACCAGATCATCTGGTTTGTGGACGACACCAACGTGTACCGCGTCACCATCCACAAGACATTCGAGGGAAATCTAACAACGAAGCCGATTAACGGAGCTATTTTCATCTTCAATCCGCGAACGGGTCAGCTCTTCCTGAAGATCATTCACACCTCTGTGTGGGCAGGTCAGAAGCGTCTGGGCCAGCTGGCCAAGTGGAAGACTGCCGAGGAAGTGGCCGCCTTAATTCGATCGCTGCCGGTGGAGGAGCAGCCCAAGCAGATCATTGTGACGCGCAAGGGCATGTTGGATCCGCTGGAGGTGCACTTGCTCGACTTCCCCAACATTGTGATCAAGGGCTCTGAGCTGCAACTGCCCTTCCAGGCTTGCCTCAAAGTGGAGAAGTTTGGTGACCTGATTCTCAAGGCCACCGAGCCCCAGATGGTGCTATTCAACCTGTACGACGATTGGCTGAAGACTATTTCCTCGTATACCGCCTTCAGTCGTCTCATCCTCATTCTGCGTGCCCTTCATGTCAATACGGAAAGGACAAAGATCATCTTGAAACCCGATAAGACCACCATCACGGAGGCGCATCATATTTGGCCCACTCTTACAGACGAGGAATGGATCAAGGTTGAGGTTCAGCTCAAGGACCTCATTCCTCGCCGATTACGGCAAGAAGAACAACGTGAATGTGGCTTCGCTGACGCAGTCCGAGATTCGTGACATCATCCTGGGCATGGAGATCAGCGCCCCGTCGGCGCAGCGCCAACAGATCGCCGAGATCGAGAAGCAAACCAAGGAGCAGAACCAACTGACGGCCACCACTACGCGAACGACAAACAAGCACGGCGATGAGATTATAACCTCTACGACTTCCAATTACGAGACGCAGACGTTCAGCTCGAAGACCGAGTGGCGAGTCAGGGCGATTTCGGCCACCAATCTGCATCTGCGAACGAACCATATTTATGTGAGCTCCGACGACATCAAGGAAACTGGCTACACCTACATCCTGCCCAAAAACATACTGAAAAAGTTTGTTACGATCTCCGATTTGCGGGCCCAGATTGCGGGCTACTTGTACGGCGTGAGTCCGCCGGACAATCCGCAGGTGAAGGAGATCCGCTGCATCGTAATGCCGCCGCAGTGGGGCACCCACCAGACGATCAACCTGCCCAATAGCCTGCCCACGCATCAGTATCTCAAGGACATGGAGCCGCTTGGCTGGATCCACACGCAGCCCAACGAGCTGCCGCAGTTGTCGCCGCAGGACATCACGACGCACGCCAAGATTATGCAGGAGAACTCCAACTGGGATGGCGAAAAGACGATCGTGATCACCTGCTCCTTCACTCCCGGCTCCTGCTCGCTTACGGCCTACAAGCTGACGCCCTCGGGCTTCGAGTGGGGCTCCAAGAACACGGACAAGGGCAACAATCCCAAGGGCTACCTGCCGTCGCACTACGAACGCGTTCAGATGCTGCTGTCGAACAAGTTCCTCGGGTTCTTCATGGTGCCGGCGCAGAGCAGCTGGAACTACAACTTCATGGGCGTGCGCCACGATCCCAACATGAAGTACGAACTGCAGCTGGCCAACCCGAAGGAGTTCTACCACGAGCTCCATCGCACCTCGCACTTCCTGCTCTTCTCGAACCTCGAGGACGGCGGCGACGGGGCCGGCGCGGATCGGGAGGATGTGTACGCGTAGGAGGCGCGTTCTAGAGTCTTAGGTTTTTTCGTTTTAGTGCATACAAACAATTTTATAAGCGTGTTTTCAAAATGCTAGCGTCTAGGTACATTTTGTAATAAAAAAAACCATTCTTTACCCAACAAGTCACATCGTTGCCATGGATTTCATTTCTCTGTCACGCCTACTAGGCCTAGAATTCATAACATTCGTTAACGCTAAGTGTTCTGTATGTAAGGACTAGTATTAATGCTAAATTTCTGTTTGGTTCGGTTTTTTGGTTTCTGTTCCGGTTTCTAGGTACGTTCGATTGACTGCTGCTGACCCGCATTCAGGAGCATTTCCACAGCACGATGGCCAGGTTGCCAGCAAAGAACAGGTATAGAATGTTCTCCGTCTCGTAGGAGACCTCGAAGCCAAAGCCCTCGCCCACAACCACATGCCAATAGATGCCGAACTTCTTGTCCATGTTCTCCTTGATGATTTTGGCAGCGTGCTGGTAAAGGATTAAAAGTGTTGAGATTATTATGTATTTAAGGATAAATCAGAAAAAACTGTTATTTATTTAAGAAAATAAATAATTTGAATGCAAGTCTATTTTTTATACACCTAAATTAAGACTGGGAAAACAAAGAAAAACAGTAATTAAAAGAAGCTTATGAAGAAAAAGTTACTTTTCAGATATAGGACTTTTAAAAAATACTTTCTTTAAACTATTTATGATGTTATTATATCCCGTTTGTTAAATTTAAAGTAGGTTAAATCCTTATATGTTTTAATCAGAAGCTTACCATACACTTATTTTATAACAGGCGGATCCGGGTAAACCTCTTTAAGATAAGGTTAAAACAGAATTTTGACTATTTACAGATATAAGGCTTTTTAAAAATACTTTCTTTCAATTAAGTATGATGTTATATATCATTCAAAATATTTCATATATTTTTTAATAGAAGCTTATTTTTTTTATAACATAATTACGGGTAAACCCTTTATATGGTTTCTCCCTATGAATAGTCCACTTACCTCATAGTTAGATGAGTATTTCTCGCAGGCGGTGATGGACAGTTCAATGGCCTCTATCCTCATCTCTTCGGTCATGTCCGAGTGCTTAAATAGATAGTGACTAATCAGTGAGGATTAATTTCGGGGATTTCTATGCTCAACCAACCTTAACCAGAGGATAAACGTGCACGATTTTCTTCTCGCCCTCCTTCCCGGCTTCCTCGTCCGCCATGTCTGCGATTCACCAGCGACTGAAGGAAGGAATCGGAAAATAAATATCACGAAGCCAGGCTAATGTAATAAAAATCGAGTTAAATTCCTATTTACGTGTGACACAATAGTCAAGGTAAAGGAAGCGACGTAGCTATAGATGGGTATATATATATACTATATGAATGGCAGGTGAATGCCTATGAATTCTCCGTTTTTGCGCTATTGTCACGGCAGGATGGCTGCTATGGCAATTTGTTTTTGGGCCCGGTTTCGGTTTCGATTGGCCTGCCAGCCTGTCAGGAGCGAGGTTGACTTGCAACTAACGATGGCACTGGATCCGCTGGCTCCGTGCTGACGCCAACTCCATTAACTGGCAACCACAGCCGGAGTTTCTGCGCCGAGGGAAAGAACATGTATGAGCCGGGGAGTTAATGGCTACACTACACTCGGTGTGCGCTGCGATTGCGCCAAGTCTGCATGTTAAAAGGACCTTCGCCCCCGGCTCCTTACTTCCTGCATCCCCGGTTTATGTTGCAAACAAAAGCAATTTCCGTGCGGGTGCCACTGCGAGACAGACGAGGCGGCGTCATAGTCATCATCTTGGCGGCAACCCCAATTTTCGCAACGATTTCTGCACTGAAAGTGGTCAACAGGGGGAGGAATAGCCATTGATGCTTGGAAAAACCACCCCGCACCCCTGACGATGCACTCAAAATGTCAACAGATTGTCAGTTAACAAAACATGGGGATTGGTTTATTCAACAATCGAGAATGGAATTAATGACTCGAACAAAATTAGAGAAATTACAAAATTAAATGTGAGGTTCCCATGCTTGACAGAGCCAGAAAGTTTTACTGAATATAAGCGAGATCCTTGAAATACGAGATTATAAAAAATACTTAAATTTATATTCAGTTTCTTATTTGGGCTTTTTTGATATATTTTTTATAAGATATGTAATCTAACTTAAACTAACGGTATCATACAGATCTCTTGATTTACCAAGTATTAAGTATAAAAAAGTATTTCATAGCCAGCTTTTAATTTTGTCAAATAGGTAACTATACATGCAGTATAATTAAAGATAATTATGGGTTCCAGATCTTAGGTTAGGATTCCGAGTTCAGGTCCCAGCACTCCTCCTCTTGCTCCTGGTCAGTCAACACAACGTCCTGGGAAAGACGTTCAGACAATTCGTATGGATCAGACCACTGTGATTCCTCTTCGGAGTCTTCAATTATAACGCTTTCTTCCTCTATTTTTAAATTGTTCTCCTGCAGCAATTCCACCAGGTCTTCCTTCGTGGCGCCTACATGATGTAGGCGATCCAATAAAAGGGAAAGAGGCATTTTATAGTTGTCCTGGTGAGAATCCAGATCGATATCAGAAGAATTGGCAATCCTTTTAAAACGTTGAATCTCAATTTGGACTTCTGTCCACATTTTTTCCTTCTCGGTGCGCGTGTCCACATAAAAAGGGTAGTCGACGGAATGAATTAACTTATAGGGAGTGGATTCTTCATCAAGTTTAGGTGTGCTATCCAAAGGAAACTCCAACTGCATCTCAAGAAAATCCTTGCGGACGAATATGGCCATCTGCGATACGTGACCAACACTTTCGAAGTCCTTGGGCGGATTACCCACTCCCATTAAAGAGAACATGTAGTTTGGGTACTTCTCAACAATATCCGAGCACCAGGACTTGAACTCCTCCCGCGTCCATTCAAACTTATGATCGTAGTGGCGAAATCCATTTGGCAACAAAGGATTAAAACGCGTAAATACTACGTTGTAGTCTGAGTTTGGTGTGCTAAAAACCACCAATTTAGGCTGCATAAACCCAAAAACATTGGATGGAATTTTGTACAAAACATCGTCGTATACGTGCTCGATTCTGTTTTGAAAAAATGAAAGAAATTACAGTGCATAAACAATAAAATATGAAGGTAAGTTATCTTACAGCTCCAACGCAATTACAGCATCTGTGCCTCGCAGTTCTTCCGAAGAATCTGCAACGCTTCCCTGTAGAATCTGAACGCTTAAAGGACCCGCACGGCGCCTAATATAATCCGAGACCAAGGGATCCACGCAGGTTAGGTTCCTTCTGAGCAAGGGCTCGTCAATATCCACCTGCAAATAAATAAAATTTTTGAAAATAGGCGCCATTCAAGGGAACAAAATGGGATTGAAACCTCTTTAAAAATTTTCTTGCATATAGTCATTTATTTTTTACTATCTATTTAATACTGTTGTATAACGGATATATATTTCAATTTTATAATTTGTAATATGTGTAAATACTGTAAATTTTAAATTAAATTACTAAATAACGAAAATTAAAAATGTGTTTACCATACATAGTACAGTACCAGTAATTATAGTATTAATATAAAAATGGGTATTAAATGTACAAATTCAGATGGTATGTCAATTAAAAAGGTTCCGTGGAAATTAAAAACAAAATTAATAATACAATTTATTTTATTAAATACACCTTTTCCACATTTACAGACTATGGTCATACTAGTAAGGCAGTTTGTCACCCTACCACGGTCACACCACGAAAATCGTGCGCTCGTGTGTGTGTGTGCAGCAGTGCACAGGAAGAATGTGTAATTGTTACGAAAAGTCAAATGGAAACGGAATTATAGTGGCGAGCAGTCTGTGAAAGTGCAATAGTGCACCGTTGCACCTAGTGAAAAGTGTAAGCACTACAAATTATATCCCGAATCAACCCAAATCGGCGGAAAACCCCCGAACACTTGGAACGGGTCAAAAGAAAACGTAGAAAAACAAGAAGAAGAGAACGGGTAGACGTGAGAAAAATACATACTGAAAAATCAATTCGACTTTGGAGCCCAATAGCAAATGGTTAGCACGTGAAAAGCGTTAGACTCGGAGGGGAAAACCCTGTGCAACTGGACAAATATGCCAGCATTTAGTTCTTTGTTTAATAATGCCGGCCAGAAAATCGATTTTTCGGGGCCCTCGGTATGTTTGTATGTCCGTGCGTTTGTATTTCCAGACATGGTGGTGCGTTCGCGTTTGTTTGTGTTTGTATTCATGCCCCCGGACGCGCAGCAAATTTAGATCGCTTTACAACACTGCAGCGAAAAACGATAAAGTGAAATACAAAATGAAATTGGCTGGGGCTGACAAAAAAAAAAAACAAACAAACAAATCCCAATAGCACAATCAGCAAATTCAAAAGACTCAAATTAAAACAAAGCCCCGAACTTATACTTATACGTCAAATATATACGCGATCACGTTTCACAACACTACAAGGCAAAACAATAAATTTACATAAATAATAAAACTGACTTGGGGCTAAAAAAAAACTGAAATCCCAATAGCACAATACAAAAAAGTTGAATCTTAATAAACCAAACTGCCAACGGCCTGAACTCATACCTCAAAAATAGATAATTAACAACCCTGTGTTTCTTCTTCTTTTACCATCAGTTGAAAGAGAATCGCCGTCGAAAGCGGAATCGCACAAAAACAAACCACCGTTTGGCTTTATTTAAATTTTAGAAGCACTTCTGAGTCACGAAAACGCCCAGAGATCCTCGCCAGCTGCCGAGATGGGCAAGCGCCTCCCGCTGGAGCGCCCGACATCGGATCGCAGTGCTCGCAAGCGAAAGCGTTCGGCGGTCAAGGCCGCCGAGAAGTGCCAGCGGCTGAGCGGCGGCTCGAGCAGCGCCAACGGCTTCGAGTTCCACGAGAACGATGACGAGGAGTCCTGCTCCTCGGCAGCCTCCGCCGGCGGCATGGATGCGGCGGATCCGCCCACACTATTGCACACCCCGCAGCCACGCAGTCTGCTCCTCACGGGAGCCAGCATCGCCAGCGATCACAACAACTCCAGTGTGATGGAGTCGCCGCGCCCGGTCTACACGCTCCGACCCTCGGTGGTCAATGGCACCATCCTGCGGGATGTGCTCTCCAAGGCCTGGCGCTTGGGGCGGCCCATAGGTGGGATCTTAATAGATTAGAGGATTATTAAGTAGACTAACCTCCTTCTTTCTTTCCAGGCAAGGGAAACTTTGGCGAGATCTTCTTGGCCTCGGACGACACTGTTTGCCCAGCCAGTTCGGAGACAGCCAAGTACGTGGTCAAAATAGAGCCGCATTCAAATGGACCTCTCTTCGTAGAGATTCACTGTCTGATCAACACATCCAGGAGCAAGGGTAAGCATTGAAACAGCTCTTCTTTTACACATTAATACCAAAGACCATTATGCAGATCCATCAGACGTCGGAGAAGATGCTGCCAGCCTGCCAGCCCAACAGACGCATGCCCTCGCCAAGGGTCCGCCCTCTGGGATACCCAGCTTCATTGCGTCGGGCACACACTACTTTGGAGACGCTCGCTATCGTTTTCTGGTGCTGCCGCGCTTCGATCGCGACCTGCACTCGCTGATCAAGAACTCGAGGGTGCAGCAAAAGTCACTCCTAGTTCTCGCCGTGCACATAATCAATGTCCTGGAGAATCTTCACGACAAGGGCTATTGTCATAACGACATCAAGGCCCAGAACCTGATGGTGTCCAAGTGCAAGTACCTCAGAAAGCAGACGGTGGTCAAGGACGAGCACTACGAGGAGAAGCAGCAGACCACGGACAGTGGCAACAGTTCGGAGCAGGAGACCAACGACGACGACTACTTCCAGAAGAACGAGAAGTTCGCCCTGAAGCGGATTCCGCATATCAAACAGGACGAGGACGAAGATGACGAGGACTTCGACGATGGCGCCACATCGAATAGCAACAACAGCAACAGCCTGGACATTTTCCACACGCCGGTGAACAAGAAGCGAACCGCTCGCAGCGCAGTTCAGTTCAGCGGCTCGAATCCAGTGCGCTCGTGCCGTCGCGAGAAGCGCAACTCCATGTACGAGGAGATGGTAAAGTCGCACTATCTGCGACCCACCAAACGCATCAGCTACCGCGAGGAGTTCAACGAGGAGGGATATCCCAAGGCGACGGCGGAGAACAGTGATGAATCGCCGGAATCGTCGGACAACGAGTCGGATGAGTTCATTCCGCCCTCGTCCCTCCGATCGGCCAGCAAAAGAGGCCGAGGCGCTCAGGTAGCCAGTCCCAAGAAGTGCTCGGCTTCAACGCGGGCCACCCGCCACCAGGAGAAGCTGAAGAAGGAGCCGATCGATGAGCACAAAGTGCGCAGCAGGGGCAGCAAGCACTTGGAAAGCAACCACCCAACTGAGTACAAGTTCCTGCCCACCGAGGAGGAGCATGTTTTCCTCATCGATTTTGGCCTGGCGTCCAAATACCAGGATCGCGGCGTCCACCGACCGTTCATCATGGATCAGCGAAGGGCGCACGACGGCACGCTGGAGTTCACGTCCCGCGACGCCCACCTGGGCGCCCATTCGAGGCGCAGTGACCTGGAATGCCTGGGCTACAACCTGCTGTACTGGTCCGAGGGCTATTTGCCCTGGAAGGACGTGGCCCAACAGCAGCAGCAGGAGAAGGTGCACCGCGCCAAGGAGCTGTTCATGACGGATGTGCCCGAGATGCTGCGCCAGTTCTACGGCAAGCAAGTTCCTAAGTATCTGGGCGAGTTCCTGCAGCAGATCGGTCAGCTGGCCTATCAGGAGCGACCCAACTACGAGCGCTACCGAAAGATCTTCAAGCGCGAGTACCAGCGTTTAGGTCTCGATCCCAGCCAGATGCGTCTGAGCAGCGAGGAGATCCTGCGCACCTGTGTGTCCACCAAGGACGTGGTGGATGGCAGCAAGTGCGACATCTTCGAGCTGAACAACAAAATAGCCACCAATGTGATGCGCAACTCGGCGCTGAGCACTCCGTTTCAGGAGCACTCGCTTACGAACCGCGTATCACCGAAAAATCTGCGTTCCAAGTCAAATAAGAAGACTACGAAAAAGAAGTTTTCGTGGGCGGAGGTCCTCTCACAGGATCCAGATCAAATAGCCCGCGAACGGGCAGTGAAGGAGTTTGAGCGGGAGGAGTCCATCTGTCCGCTGAATTCCCGTCTTCCAAGGCGCTACGACGGCAAGCCCACATACGCGATACTGGCCATGGAGCAGAGTCGTCGCGAAAAGGGCTTGGTTGTCCAGGAGCATAATGAAGAGGAAGAAGAGGAGGAGGATGACGAAGAGGAAAACCAGGAGGCACAGGAGGATGAAGAAGATGAGGAGGATGCAGATAGCGTCGAAGGCGAGGTAAGCTTAAAGAATGCAGTTTTTGCAGAGATATTTAACCAGTTAAATTTCTCTAATTCAGGATGAATCGGATGGCGCAACGGAGAAGAGCGAGTGCACCGATCATTCCCAGAAACCTGCGCGCGGTCGTCCCAGGGGCACCACCAAAAAGCAGACCCAGGCGCCGCAGAATCAGCCGCCGGCGAAGGCCAGCCGCGGAGTGGGTCGTCCGAGCAAGAACGCGGGCGTCGTACGATTCACCGCGGGAGCCGTGAGCAAGAACCGCTCCACGCCGCTGTCGGCAGTGGCCAGTAACAAACGTGGCTGCGCCACACGCAAGGAGAATTCCACTCTGGCATCGGCCACCGGCGAGGGCGAGCGCAAACTGAAGTCGAGCCGTACGCGCAGAGCTCTCTATAAGACTGAACCCAAACACGGCGAGCACGATGCGGAGAACAACTCGAGCCTGCTGGAAGTGCAGAACCTGTACGGCGAATACGATGACGAGAACAACTACGGCAAGGGGCGCAGTGTCCACTCGTCCAGGCACTGTCGCAAGTGATTGCCAGATGACTAGATGCATAGAGACTAGGGACGATCGAGAGGAGGAAGGAAAACTGAACAGAAGAAGAAACCTAAATTCGCTTTCAAGTATTTTTAGTCGTAATTAGGTACGAACAGGACAGAACCTACTTATATTCATACTTCAAAGCTGTCGGCAGACGAGCTACTGCATTCGACACGACGTGTAATTTTGGTTTTTATAAATTTAACTAATAAGTTGTCTTAAGTTTATTGATTGGCACTCTCCGCTCCATAGGGAAGATGTTGTTGAATTATCCATTATACCATGTAGTCCTCAGTTGTAAGAGATGTTTGTGTGTTTTAACGGTGCGCAGGAGCAGTGCACCATTGGCCTTGATAGCAAATCCTTGATTTTTAAATTCTAGTTTTATCCTTTGCGAGTTTTGTGTTAGTTTCGTTAGATTATACTTCATATTATAGACCAGATGTACGCCCCGTTTCACCCACATTTCATGCAGCCAGGTACATACTCTCCTCAAAAAGTATTTAATATACATAACTAGATAATGGTTATTTCATAAACACATGATACAAGTCTAAGTTAGGATATGCGTGTATAAACAAGCAGCGGAAATAAATAAAATAGAATTGTATTTCCTTAATAATTAAAACTAAATTGTTTTCTTTGATCCGAGGGATTTAAATAAAGGATCTCACCAGTAGAATGTTTTCTATGGTCTCTATGCGACGCATCAGCTGGAATAATTTCATCTCGGCACAGCCGAACTCGACCACCTTCTTGATCTGACTTGACCAGCGGGAGTCCTCCAGGATCTGGATGGCGGCGCAGTATCTCTGCTCGTACACAGGTGGATCGAAGGAAATGCCGGTTTCAGTCATTGTTGTTAGGGTTTGGAAATCCCCGCAGGGCAACTTGTAACAAAACATCTCCGCGTTGTTTTCAACTCACAAAATTTCACTTTAAATTCCACTTATTCAGCAAACGGCTTTGTTTGTTTGTAATGTATTTTTTTTTTTTTTGGTTTTAAATCATCGCATGGATGATCAGATGGTTGGTCGCAACAACACTGCCGCATAGACCAGGGGCTAAATTGTTTGTAATGTAAACGAAAATAATCAAATAAATGACAATCGTAATATAATAGCGAAATCACAACGTAACGAAACGTAAAAGTGTAATCTTACTGCCAATGAACTGGTAAAAATATCATAAGCTCGTGAGTTGCTTATCGATAGCTATTGCATTTGAAATTGGGCGGCAATTTTTTCGACCCAGAAATCTTCGAAGGTTTGAAACAGCAACAGCCTGCGATTATGTGAATAAGGATTATTTGCCTTTAGAATGTTAGGTGTTAAATAATACAATAATTATATTCAAGGACCGAAAATAACTGTTTTTTTTTAATCATGCACAAGAAAGAGTTTGGAAGAAGTTTAAATATTTTTTAGCCATCAAAAAATAACGGTTTTTTCTTTTATAATAAATAAAATAAAAAAGTGCTAATGCGTTCTATATAACTTAGTAAAAATCTTATAAAAAAATGCCTGGAATATTGTATAAATATATATATTTTTAAATTTATTTTACCCACAGAAGTTTGAGTTTAATTTTTAGTTGCAAGAAAGACCTGTAAATTTTCAGTTATATTAAGTACTATAAAACTCAACAAATAACAGTTATTATTTGAGTTTAACTTTAGAAATCATATGATATTTGATAAAATGAGATATTCAATTAAAAACTCAAAACTTCTAAGTTATAACAACCTTAAAAAGTTTACTTCGGATAGTCAAGGATTAATGACTTGATTAATCTTGACAGATTATATTTAAATTTAAAAAGTTAGCTCTTTTCCGAAAACACAGGTCTTTTTGAAGTAACCAGCTTTATGGAAACCATTCTTGGCTTTTGTGGTCGTGGGGAATCACGCAACTTCCGGCATCTTTTCCGGGCGACCTTCGCTGCAGGTGCTTGCCTCACAGGTTCCCTGCAACTGGGTGGTAAACCCACCAACCAACCACCAATCACTCCACTCGACGGACAAATTAGCAGACAAGTCTGCAGTTCGTGGGAGCTTTCCATATTGGTATAATGTACGTTTAGTGGGCGGATAAGGATAATGCCAACGTCAGCGGCTCCGTCTCCCACATGAGCAAACGTTTTAACTTTTCAACCTGCTGCCATAATTTCCGGGCTAATTGCCCTGCGTTTGAAATGGAAATTTACAAATCAATAAATTTTAGTGCCCGGCGCTGGTGGAGGTCCTTTCCCCATGGTTGCCATAATTATACACGTCGTCTGTCCTGTCGCCGTGGACGGGCTTTTGTTATTGTTTGCACTGAAAGACGTTGCCGAGGCTCTCATAGAGCCATCAAATGCGGCTGAACACTGGGAAAAACGGCTATTGCCAAATTATATAGGAGCGGATTTAGAGAACTTTTTAAACTAATCGAGATTTAAACGTTACTTTAGCCAAAAATAAAATTAAAATTAGTTTAATTGAAACAATTGTTATACAAACCATATTTTAGAAACCAAAAGTTAGACAAACAAACAATTATTACGACGACTTATAGTATTTTCATTAAAAATAATGTATCCGAATTGGTACGTAAAATTTGCCCTACAAATATATAAACGATCTTTATAAAACCATCCAAAAATCAGGACCTTTTTCTTAAGCTATTCAGCAAAAAAGTGGATAAAACATCTAACTAAGCAAAAGGTACCGTAATGAGAACTGTAAGTATTTTGTACATGTTTTCCCAATTATTTTCCGTGTAAATGGGGGCCGGCAGTCCGCACGGAAACCGAAAATCCAATAACATTTTGAGTCCCAGCCTTGCGTGCTTGACGAAGTCTTCGGTTTACCAGTTTAGTTTGCAATAGCCACCCGTGCCTTCAAGTCGCCAACCGAACAATGGCCCTTTTTAGTCCGCACCAACTGTCGAATCCCCGGGCTAATGTCTTCATACTGGTTAATTTGGGATGTGAGATGCTCTACGTGATCGATCAGCGACTGAAGGCGCAGCAGATTGCACAGGATAAATCTGTCCAGGGTGAGGAAATCTATAAAGTCAGCTAGGAACTAGGAACTTGAAACCACAAATATAATATTTCAGTTATTGGATGTCCTTGAATTTCGCAAACTGGCCTTTTGTGTTTAGCAAAGGTCAAAGTGTACTGAATTCTGAAAGTGCTTTAAAAAGTTTAGTCAAATCGTATGCTTTTTATGGTTTTGAGTTTTAAAACATTTGGAGATTTTAAAACATTTGGAGATTTTTCCATGCTGAACGCCAGTTCTTTTTAAGCTCCAAGTTCCTATAAACGGCCCTAAGATTTGAAATATTTTATCCTACAGTTATTCATGATGTGACTACAGTACTGCTCGAGCCCAAATTTATAGACTCTCTGCTGAACGGATCGAAGTCGAATAATGCCCAACTCCTGACTGCCGAGCATTGCAAGTTCATGCTGAATGACATAGCCACCTGCTCTTTGATGCGACTCGATGAGCAGTCGATGTCGAAACTGTGGAACCTGATGACCATGGTCTACAAGTGGCAATTGTTCGTTTCCCGCCATCAACACCACCTGCTGGAGATTACCTTTCGGCACCTGGAGGCGGTCAACAGGTTGTATCCGGATGCCAAGCGGCACATGCTGATTGACTTCACAAAGAACACGCTTCTGGACTTTTGGAACGCCAGCGGGGAGGAGGCGCAGCTCTCCATCTACCAGACGAATCGCTCCTGGCTGCAGTGCTTCAACACCAAGATATCGCTGCTGATTCGCATGGGCTTCCAGGCCATGGACGGTAGTTTCTTCAAGGAGGTGGACCAGGATTACTTCACGGAATACGTTCAAACGGCCGGCGATAATATCTATGCGAAAAGTGCAGAGCAGCGGGAACGGCAGCAGCGGGAGCCCAACAGCATGGATCAACTGGCCGCCCAGCTGAACGTAAATCCACCGCAAGGCGAGGATCTGCAGCCCATCAACGCCCGCCAGTTCCAGCAGCAGTTCGAGCAGACCTTCGGCAACGTGCTTTTCGACGATCCATCGGCCAGTTCCTCTGCCTGCGAGTTCGTCCAGCTTCAGCCCACGAGCCCAACATCCGAAAAGGAAGCGACGACGATGTCTCGAGGAGGAGGATCCTTCTTGAACCAGAACCTGCTCGACTTGTACAGCAAAATGCCTTAGTTTAGAAAATATTGTATTTCTCGTCAGTTGGTTTTTGTAAATGAATTATAAAAACGCCGTAAGTTGCATAGTTCTCGTTTGTTTTTGTTTTGTTTTCATCGAAGACATTGTTGTGATCAAAAAATAAATCAACGTTAGAATTTTGAGCTTGCGACTTGTTGTGAACAACTGTGAAATGTGTGGTGGGGGTGTGCGGTGCAGGGTAAAATAGAACCAAGGGTCGAAATGTACAATTACAAATATAAAAGTTAAGGGCGTGCTCCTCATCATCCTCATCGCGCTGCTGCCTGCGCTCCAGACTTATGGCAACAACATGAATATAATCAATTACTCTCCTCGTTTTGTGTGTCTCGCTTGTAATACGCTGCCTCCCATCGGAGTCAGCAAAGGAAAAGTTCGTCCGTGTTGGTGGTGGTTGTGGTGTTGGTTTCTCCAGCGGCAGGATCCTATTACATCTTCGCCTTGAGCGGCACTGCGTCCACCATGATATGCAGGGCCATCTTGAGGCACTCCTCCGCGGAACTGATCTGCTCGCACGGATAGGCGGCTCCGTATTGCGTGAGAAAGTCGCAGTACTTGCGGTAGTTGCTCACCGCAAAGTCGTAGTTGTAGGCGCCCAGCGACTTCATGTCCGTGTCATCCGTGACCGACGGCACCGTCGCCTTGTGCGGCATCCGCCCGAAGGTGGGGTAGTCCAGTTCGCAGCCCTCGCACTTGCAGTCGAAGCGGTACTGCATGGACAGCGTGTCCAACCGCTGCTGCTTGCTGAAGATGGCGAAGTGGGCGCTGAAATATTGGGTATTTATTAGAATTAGTAGTTGGTAAAGAGTAAGCTTAGAGACTGTATTTTATTGTAATCTATTGTTATATAAGTTTGGAGGAATAAGACTAATAAATAGACCTCGGATTTTGCATATTTGCATATTTTTATAGGATAAAGATAGATCAATTCCGAAAACACCAAAGTTCGTTTCAATAAAAATATAGTTTAAAATAATGGCATATTTTATTTTATTTTTTTGCATTTTTGCTTAAAATGCCTATGCATAAAATATGCAAAATATAAAATAAACTGAACTATTCAAGATTGACCATTTCATAGCCAACCTAATTTTCCCGAAGAAAATTGTTTATTCTTTTTCGTCATTTCTGAGATACCTAATTTTTTCCCAAATTTAAGGAAACCCTATTTATATATCCAACGAGTAGGCGAGAAGAGGCAAAAATAGTAAAATGGGCAGAATATATTTTGCATATTTTATGGATATATTTTGCATATTTCCGATATGCATCCGAATTTGAAAAATATGGCACCTACCTAGAAATTTTGGTAAAAATCGGACCAAAAATGGACAAATATGCAAACTCCGAGGTCTACTAATGAAGAAAGGAAAATAAATAGCCCAAATTAACTATATTTTGAGCTATAGTTTCACACTTGTTACTCAAACTAGAGCTAAGCTATAAATCCATAATAATTAGCCAAGCATATAATTATAGCCCAGTCTCTCCACTCACCCATAGTTGTCGTAGAGCACATTTCCCGCCTTAATGGGCCGCAGGACGAACAGGTACGCCTTGGTGCCCTCGTATATCCTCAAGGTGTTGGGCGCACACGAGTGATTCAGCAGCGAGAGGAAGGCGTACGCCCCCGAAGAGTGCGTCTGGTCGTCCTTGGTCTCGTTGACCTGCTCAACCAGATCGATGCCGTGCATATTCGAGGGCGAGGTCTGCAGGTGCCGGAACAGCAGATCCGTGAAGAAGTTCATGCCCTCCTCGCCGCCCAGGTGCTCCTTGAGCGGCGTGTATTCGATTATAAAGTGCTTGAGCACGGCACAGACCACGGAGCGCTGGAAGAGATCGGAGACGGAGCGCAGGTGCTGGTTGGTCACCAGTCCGTGGATGGCCCGATAGTGCTCCTGCGGCGACAGCTGCCCGTAGTCCAGGTCGAAGGCGCACTTGTGCTGGTTCTGCGGCTGCTCGCAGAACGCCATCAGTTCCTCGATGCTGGGATAGAGATCCAGGGCGGCCAGCGTGGTGCGCAGCGCGATGCCGTGGATCTTGTTGAACATGCGGTGCAGAAAGTCAATGATGGGGCACTCGAAGCGGTGGTAGGTGGCCATGGCCCGCTGCTTGCAGTCCTCGGAGCAGAACATCACGGAGCAGCAGATGTCGCAGGGCACAAGGGTCAGGTAGTTCTCTCGCTTGCAGGTGGCACACCGAATGTACCGCATGGGCGGCAGCAGGGTGGAACAGAAGGGCTGCTCCACGGCCACCAGGTCGCCGACGACCAGGTCCCGATTGCTCACCACAAAGCGACCCTCGTCGGCGGACTCGCGCAGCTCCAAGCAGTCGGCGATGTACGGCACCTGGGCGTGCGAATCGAAGCCGAGCTTGAACTCGTAGGGCACCACATCCGGCGGCTGCTGGTCGAGCAGCTGCTGGCAGTCCCGCTCCCGCTTGTCCAGCTTGTGGCTCAGTCTCGCCGGGTAGTTGGCCTTCCTGGCCAGCTCGATGTTGGCCAGGCACTCCCGGTAGCGCTTCCACTCGAACAGCACCGCCGACCGGTTGGCATAGCCTATGGACAGGTGCTCCGAGTTGGGCTCGGCATAGCATATGCTTTTGTTGTACAGCTCCAGGGCCTGTGGAGGAATACAGAGGAATAGCATTAGAGATATGGTCATCCGAGGAGGAGGAGGTTTCAGGTTATCACCTGAAAGTATTTCCGGTTCTTCAGCGAGAACTGCTCGTTGCCCAGCATCCGGAACTCGACGCTCCGCTTGTTGCACTTGTCCTCCCGCAGCGTCACGTTCAGGAAGATCTTCTCCATGTACTTGAAGTCAATGAGCGCCCGCTCCACGAAGTCCACCTTGCGGTGGTTCTCCTTCAGCTCGTTGAACTTGCCGGATATGATGCCGATCAGCTTCCAGTCGTTCAGCTTCTTCACCAGATCATCGCTCACGTCGTACACGTCCATCTCTTGTGCGGGGTGCTGGTCCTGTGGCTCCGTGGCTCCTGGAGGCTTCTCCGGATCAGATCGGATCGGTTTGGTTCGGATCCTTCGGTTCGGTCCGCGTGTCGACGCCGCCGCCTGTTTTTTTCAACCGCAAAATCGGCTCGTTTGGCCCACTGCCGGTGCCGCGAATTCTTTAGCTGGCGCTGGTGCTGACCGCTAATTAGCGATTTCACAGACGATTTCGGCTCGGCAATATTGCGATTATCCACAGGGCGATTTTAATGTTATTTTTTGCCAATCCGCTGGAAGCAGTGTGGAGTGTAGCCTGCAAATAATTAACCCTGCGACGCTCGAAATGCACTAAAAAATACCGCGAGGTAATTGCGTGCGTTAGCCGGGACACACACCCAAAAGTTTTTGTGCAGAAATATAATTAATTGAATTCTAAAAGTATAGATTTGGAAAAAATAGAAAATTACTAATAAGTTAATTTTTTCCATTTTTCAAATTATTTGCTTTTTATCTTTTAAACTATTCTTAACACACCTTTGACAATATTTAGAAATCAGCAGTGTTTGCACACCAGAAATCCTTTTTGGCGCCATTTTTGAATTCCCCCAAGGCGGTGCACACACTGGCACGATTCGTTTTTCCAATTTCCTCTTCCTCTTGCGACAGTTTCTAAGTTTTTGAAGAATTCGGGTAAATATTGGCAGCCAGACTGTTTGTTTTACCATCGCCCTGCTGTCAGACGGCCGCCGCACCAGTTCGGTTCAAGTTGAAGGCAAGGGAATATTATTTTTAGCCAGTAGGCCACAGCTAAGTGGCACCCGTGTTCTGTGTAAAAATTTTGTTTGGCTGCGAACTGCAAATAAATCAAATCGTTTTCATCCCAAAACCAGAGAACCAAGAGCAGGGAAGTACGTAAAATTAATATAAAAATAAAAGGTCGTGGGCAGAGTGATGAATTTATGGCCCATTCGATTTTGTAGCATGCCCATCATTCGGCTGGAGTCGGCGGACAAGGAGATCTTCGACACGGACCAGGAGATCGCCAAGTGCTCGGAAACGATTCGCACGGCCCTCGAGGATCTGGGCGATGAGAGCGACAACAGCGTGCTGCCCTTGCCGAATGTCAACTCGCTGATCCTGAAGAAGGTGCTCCACTGGGCCACCTACCACAAGGACGATCCCATGGTGGCCGAGGAGGACGAGAACAAGGAGAAGCGCACGGATGACATTTCGTCCTGGGACGCCGACTTCCTCAAGGTCGACCAGGGCACTCTGTTCGAGCTGATCCTGGCTGCCAACTACCTGAACATCCAGGGGCTGCTGGACGTCACCTGCAAGACGGTGGCCAATATGATCAAGGGCAAGTCGCCGCAGGACATCCGCGACACCTTCGCCATCAACAACGACTTTTCGCCGCAGGAGGAGGAGCAGGTGCGGAAGGAGAACGAGTGGTGCGAGGAGAAGTAATTGAATGTGGATTCCTTTAGCTAATATTATGGGGTGCTCTATAAAGACATACTCATTTGGTTAAAATTCGGTTATACCAGGATTTTTGTGTAACGGTAAATATCAAAATAAATAGATCCTTGCAAAATCACAGTTTTGTTTTTTATGACTGATTAATTTCTTCACATTCCGAATAAGTTGCTTGGAATTTTACAATTTTATTTAAGGCAGGAAATGGTTTCAGCTTAAACGTATCAAATTTCTTAATTTTGGTAGTTCGAGTGTAGGAAAGTAGGTATAAAGAACAATTAAAGGCGCACTGTGCCTTTTGAATACTTCCATTTATTTAGTAATAATACTTATACATAGACTTATAATTTTTAATTGCGTACAAAATTATGTTTGTAAAAATAATAACAAATGTGCACATGCATTTTACATATGTATATATGAAGTTTATGTCATTTACAGCGCGCATAACAATGGAATATGGATTTCTGACAACCTACGTGTTTTAATTAAAAATCCTCAAGATGAACTCCATGAATTTGGCAACGATGGATCCCACCAGATTAAGGACCAGACCCAAAATTGTGAAGACAAAATCGATGAGGTCCTCAAGCTCGAAGGATCGCACGAATCGGAAGAGGAACAGTGCCACCAGCACAACCAGGACGGGTTTCACCAGAGAGAGTAGGAACCGGAGGGCGAAGAGGAGTGTGTACCACGTAATGACCAGAAGCAACACGTATGCGATCAGTTCACCCAGGTCAGAGGGCATGGACACGTTCTTGGAGACGAATTCGTAGAAGACCGCGATGGAGGATCCGTCGTCCTGCCATGGGTTCTTTTCCCGTCTGATATTCCTGCAGCTTTCCTGTTCCATGGTTAAGTTTCCTGGTCTGACGAAACTGGCAAGGCACGCTGATCGTTTTGGCAGTGAATTACAAGTGATTCACAAAAATCCAATTGCAAGATAATAAACAAATCTTCAAATTGCGAAAAACAGCTGTTGTGGTATGACCGTATTTCGATCATAGTGCCCAGCCCTGCAATGTGTGAAAATTGTAAGGTAAATTAATTTTTAGAAAGTGTATATTTTTAGTCGAATGCATAATTATTTCTCGTTACAAAATTTGATATCTAAACTTTTGAAAGTTGAAATTTGGCTTGCCAAAATGTACTTTATTTAATGTTTTACTTCAATTTATTACGTTTCTGTAACACTGATAAATAATTTAAATAATATTTAAAAATAAATAAAATTTTTTTGGTAGATATTTTAAGAAAACTGTATTTATTTCTTTAAATGTAGTATAAATTGTAGGAAACAAAAACAAATTATAAATAATTTTGATATTCAAGTTGTTATACCCGTTACTCGTAGAGTGAAAGGGTATATTGTATTCGTGCAAAAGTATGTAACAGCTAGAAGAAAGCGTTTCCGACCCCATAAAGTATATATATTCTTGATCAATCTCACTAGCCGAGTCGATCTAGCCATGTCCGTCTGTCCGTCTGTCTGTCCGTCTGTCTGTCTGTCTGTCTGTCTGTCTGTCTGTCTGTCTGTCTGTCTGTCCGTATGAACGCTGAGATCTCGGAAACTTTAAAAGCTAGAAGATTGGCATTTTGCATGCAGTTTCTAGGAGCACCTACGCAGCGCAAGTTTGTTTCAAAAAGGTGCCACGCCCCCTCTAACGCCCACAGTTTTGAAGCTATTATAAAAATAGTAACTGATATGTATTCGCTTCGTCAATACCTATCGATTGGCCAAGTAAAAAATTGCCACGCCCACTCTAACGCCCACAAACCCAATAAACGCTTAAACCTGGCCAGCGCCTACATTTCCGCCTTTCATGACCAGTAGTACCAATATCTGGCGGTAGATGGCGCAATACAATATACACTAGCGCCATCTAGGAAATGGCATTGGAAAAAATCTGCGTTTTTTTCTGTGGTCACTCTAATTCACATTATGTTAATGCAAATTTTAAATTATTTGAAATGGGGCGCGCATTTTGTCTCTTTTTGCTCGTATACGTTTTTTACAAGTGGATTCACCTGCGCTAGAGAGAGACGGAAGATGTGCTAGGCAGAATTAAAAGTTATATTAAGCCTCTTTTAGAAAGAGATCCCTGGGTAAAAATCGAGCGGCGAAAAACATATAAGAAGGCATATTTCTATTAAGTTGTTTAGCTGAGTAACGGGTATCTAATAGTCGAAGCACTCGACTATAGCGTTCTCTCTTGTTGTACTTATTGTAGCCCAATACTTTTTTTGCCTTTAAACTTTTTGCTTACTATGAAATCTTGCTAAATTAGATTAGACCGATTTACAATTTATTTTATTAATTTAAAATATCTCGATTTGTTAATAAATATTTAATCGATTTTCCATGGTTCTTTATTTGCCACGACAACGTACAAGCTTTTAATTAAATATTTGGTAATAATTACACCGTACAAAACTAATCATGCAGCTAATTATTGCTACTAATGTAACTAAACTTGAAATATTACTAATTCTTGTAGGTGGTGGTTTCGAATTAAGATTAAAGACCATTAAAATTGTTTTATGAAAACAAACTGTTATCGTGCAATAATTACTTTGTTCAAGTTACCAACAAAAGCAAATGAAATACTTTCTTTCAAAGTGCAGTGGGTTAAAGCTATCCCGGCCATAAATCTAAGTAGCGACCTTTCAACTTCGTCGCTGTGCATTGAACTGGCGGAAAATTCTCCAAAACCCAGCGAATCCCCAGGGAAAACCTGACAGGCAAAGGTAAGTAGCTGCCTGAAACTGATGCCACAAGAGAAAAAAAGAAAACACGGCAGGCGAACAATAAGCAATTTCCTTTTTTCCTTTCAGCTCACCCGGTTCAATGTACTGCACCCACTACTTGCGAAGAAATGGCAAATTTAATGGCAGTCAAATTGCCCACAAATTGGAATAGATGGCGCCCGAGCAGGATTTTTTGGAAATTCATACGATCGGTGGGGTGCCAAAATCAAAAGAGCCAGACTTAATTTACTCGGGCTCAGGGCAATTTCACCGAAAATGCAGTTTCATTGTTGTTTCTGTCAACTTGTTATTAGCTATGCTCTTTGCCACACAGCTTGTCCAGAGCAAACTACATGGGACAATGGGCAGAAAGTGCAAACAGATGTCCAACTTGGCTGCAGTTGCACTCTGGACTAGAAACGAAACTTCAGGGAACTGAACTCGACTTGATGCATCTGACAGGCTGACTTTGACACAAAGCCCGGGAGGACAGACGGTTGGGTCTATAAATAAGACACGACCCAGTACCATGTGCTGACAGCGATGCCCACGAACTATATTATTCATCACGCAGCAAGCATAGTTGGAGCTAAAATAAAGAAAGAGACTAAATTTTGTTGTATAAAAATTGTTAAAAAAGACTAACTTTTATCAAGTAGTGTGTGGACAGTCCCTAATACAAAAACAAGTTTAGGTCGTATCGGGGCATTACCTTTCTTTTTAAAAAGTAGGTACTTAACAAATTTTTAAATTTATTTAATTACTTAATTTACTTACTTATTTACTTAATAAATACATTGTAGGAATATTCTAAGTTCAACGTTTTGATCGCTCTTAAAAACGTCCATCCATTCCCTTCGCGAAGGTAAGCTGTAAAAACTTTAATCCGGTTATAACTTTCAGAATAGATCCAAGTTGTCATCTCTGCCAGCTGACCCAATGCGAGTCGTTCTGCTCCTCTGTGTTTGAGGGTGTTGTAAGTGCAACAACTGTGTCACGCCTTGTTTCTGCAAACGACAAAGTAGAGAATGGTACGGAATATACGGAGACAAGCTGCTAGAGCCAGCTTGTTATTATTTCTGGCTTTTGTTGCTGGCTTCATAAAAGTGTTGTGTTGTCCACGTGTGTTGAAGTGTGCACGTTCGTTTGTTTGTTTGTTTGTCCGGCGCTTCCTGTTGCTCGTTCGACTTCTGCCCGAGCGTTTCCGCTTCCTTTCATTTGCCATTCCGCCCCTGCCACCTCCTTTACTTCCCCGCCCATTTTCTAACTGGCATTTCATTTTTCCTTGTTTTGGATTTGCTTTGCTCTGCGGCTATTTGCTTTAAAACTCTTGCACCAGCCCAAAAAATATTTAAAGTACTTAAAAGTACAAAGTATTTCCAAACCGATTTTCTCAGTGGTTGCGGAGAGTAGTGCTCTCCTTGGTGTGCATAAAAAGGCCATCTTCATAGAAAACACATTCTGTCGCTGACACCTGTCGCTGCACTTCCATTAGAATGTGCTCCCAGTGCTAAAACAATACGGTACACTCGACAAAGAACCTCGGAGGTGGTTGATCATCAGTTGAGATTCATACCGTTTACTTTGTGCGTTAATATTACCTTGTAAAGCTTGGCTATAACCGGACTACTCTATTCGTTCAACTATTTAATTACCTTGTCAAAAGGATTTATTTTTATACATACCTTTTGATAATTATATTATAAATTATAATTTATCTTATAGAAATAATAAAATGTGTCTATTTTCTGTAAATTAATTCATTTGTAAGCGTAAAGAAACTTACTTAACAAACCGGTGAGAAAAATGTCCCAAGCAGTGCTGCCATTTTGTCCTCTTTCCGGACAGATCTGTCCTTTTTTTAACGGGTTTATCCGGAAAAAATTTCAAACATCCCCTATCCGGAAATCTGTCCTTTTTTCAAAAATAAGGTTTTGAGTGTTATTTTTGCCAGTCGAAAGTGTGTAAACCTGTTTTTATATGCTAAAACGCCTTTTTAACCATCAATCTTACAGTTCGGCACTTAAAAAATAATTATTTTTACAAATGATCAAAGAGACGTAAAGCAGTCGATGGATTTTCTATATAGTACGATTTTTTCTGTAGCAAAAAAGAGGAAAACACTTTAAAAATTTCTCAATTTTTACTCTCTGCTTTTTTGTCAGAAAAAATTTTCAGATTTTAACGACTCTTATTCGGGTTTGACGCAGATATTGCATTTTTTTGTATTACCAATATAGTTACTTGAAATGCTTTTATTATTTTAATAATTTTAGATAATTACGTATACGCACAAAAATTAACTATGGTAAAATGATCAAACAAAGAAGGATGTGAGTCGGGCGCAGTAGGTCATTACATAATTGAATTTAATATAAAATCCATTTAAATTAAGTAATTATATAACCCATTGGTAAAACAGAAAAATGGAGGCGCATTTACTTTTGTCCCTTTTTTTGTCCTTTTTTAAAAGTTTTTGTCCTTTTTTTCCCTGTTTTTTTTGGCTTATCTGTCCTGTTTTTCAAGCTGAGTGATGGCAGCACTGGTCCCAAGCGACAAGATTAAAAAAAAAGAAATAGGAACGATTTCTCAGTAAAAACAAAACTATTTCGTAGCGACAACATTAGCCAAAATTAAAGAAAAACTCATCAAAACATGCCATCAGATTTTGCTGAAATCTGAGGCTAACGACAGTCTTTAAAAGACCTCTTGGAAACTAACTGTGGGACAAATTCAAGATAATTACACAAAATTTAAGTTGAGAAGAGTGAAAAGAAAAGCATATAATCATATTTAAAATGTTTTTTTTTTTTTTTGTAATTTTTTAAAATGGTTTTTTTCTGGAATATACGTTTGCATTTATCTATTTCTTTTAGCAATATGTGGAGGTACTAGTTATTTTTTCCTGTGCTGTTGCACTTTGACACCTCCGATTTAGCCCACTCCATCTGGGCGAACGACACGTGTCAAGTGTAAGTGCATCGGATCGGGCAACCGCAACTTTTGCAACTCACAGCTGACCTTTTCGCGATGGAACCTCTCGAGTCGCGAGTCTCTGATGCTGTCGGTTGCCGGGGGCAAAGTCATTTGACATAGTCAACTTGTTTTAAATTAATGAGCACGCCGAAAAAACGCGCATGAAATTGCTTTGCGTCTTGGGCGAGGAACCTGAGGTGGCAGGAAGCAACAGGTGGAAAGGGTTCTCCCCCAGGAAGTGGCCGTAAAAGGCCGCTCGAGAACCACCGAGGAAGGACCTATGCAAAGATTCCGCTTGGCAAACTGCAGGGAAAAGTTCTTCGCCCGAAAAAAAGGCTGGCGGGCATAAGAAAAT